CTTGGTTTATCCTCCCAAGACCCGGTTGGGGTGTCTCCTCTTGGGTTTCTGCTAGAGACTGCCCAGCCTTGACCTGGCTGAAGGGGCAGCTCCTTGAGTGATGGCCACTAGCCTGTGCCCCAGCGGGGGTGGCCTTTGCTAAGTGGGGCTGGGGAGCTGGAGAATCTATTTCCAGAGCCAGACCGAACTGGGTTTGGTTTCAGCTGCGGAAACCGTTTTGGATGGAGACACATTTTCCTTTCCGGAACACTCTGTGGTGGCCAGCACTAGCAACGGTGTCCAGATGGCCCAGCCTGCCCACCCTGGGAACGGAAAGATCCTACTGTCTGGGGTACCCGGGCATCCCTGGCTGGCCCAGGGTGGCCACGTGTGGCGGGGCTCTGGCTCTGGAGCACTGCTGGCCGCTGCAGAACGAGGTGCAACTGGAAAATTCGGCTCATGTGCTCTTCCCGGAACGTCTCGTTCCCAATGGCTTGGCAGCCGACTTGTCAGGAGGCCCCACGTGCCTGGCGCCAGGGAGAGGCTTGGGGCCTGGCTCTCCCCGCCCCTTGCCCATGGTAGCTTGGAGACCACTGCAGGCTCTGTCCGGAGGGTTGGGGCTAAGCTTGGGGAAAGGTGGTTTCTGGGGTCAGGCTGGCTGCTACCCAGGACCCGCCTAGTTGTCAGTGTGTACCTACTGCTTGGAGTGTGGGGGTCCCTGCCCAGGTCCTGCTGGAGGGGTGCCCCCTAGACCTGCATGAGGTGCTGGTGAGCTTGGGTACGCCTCCAGCCTGAGCCTCAGTGTCCCCACCTATAGACAGGACAGCAGAGGGATGGTGGGCCTGAGTGGGGCTCCTTCACACCCCTGACTGGTCGGGGTCAGTGTCTCTGGGTCCCTGTCTTCACGGGGGGACCTCCATGATCAGGGGCCCTTCCTCTTGCTCTGCTCTGACTTCAAGTCTGAGGCCTACTTCCCCTCCTGTCCCTGCCAATGGGACCCTGGAGGTCCTGGGTAGGTGGCGTCAGTCAGCACACCAGACCCCAGGCCACCTCTCTGGGCCGATTCTGTTGGGGGTCTCTGTGAGAATGGATGAGACTCCAGTGATGCACTGAAAATGAGGGCTCCCTTCCATCGTGACGCCCACTGAGGGGCTATCTGACATCCTTGTGCCTGGGACCCTCCTGCGCCCCACCCCATTCCCCACCAGGGGCCTCCCCCTCCTGCCCCTGGGCAGCATACACCTCATTTTTTCTTCAAATTGACTCACTCTTAAGCTTGAATTCATTAATTTCAACACGATCATTTCCGGAACTGAAATGCCAGTCTTGCTCACCATAAACAGAAGGGTCCTAGAGCTAAGGGAACGAAAACAAAATGAACCGATTGGATTCCAGCTCCTGCTGGCGACTGGGTCCAAGCCCACCTGCCCTTGCTTTGGGGAGTGGGGGACTAGTGCCATGGTGTCCTGCTGGTATACCCCCATGACCTCTAGTCCTGAGCTCCCCTTGTGATCCCGGGTACCACTTCTATTCATCTCACACCCCCACCTGCCCCCCCCCACTCCAACCCCTCTCATATCCCTCCCCATGTACCCCCGTCCACCCTGTGCACCAGTGGCCTCAGGGCAGGAACTGGGCAGCAGGCGGAGCTGAGTCTGGGGACAGTCAATGGCAGCCTTGCATCCCTCTACACTGGTCCCTGGCTTGGAAGGGGATGGGCCCCCATTGCCAGATATCTGTGGGACCCTCAGGAAGCAGACAGGCTAGCCCACCCCCATCCAGGAGACCTAGGCTGAAGTTTCAGGAACCTGGACCTTGGGAGGAAGCAGAGCCTCCCCCTGTCAGAGGGAGGAGGCACACTGGCTTGGAAGGAGCGGATTACATAACATCTGGCGGGCGGGCGGTGTCCTCTGAGCCAGGCCCCCAGCCCTTTCCAGTGCAGCGGCCAGCGCTGGGCTGGGTGGGGGGGTGGTTGCTGAACGGGGCTGGGGCTGGCACCCGTTTGCGACGCTGACCACACGCGTCTGGAATGTGCAGATGTTTCTTCAGGGGCCCGACTGGCCCCCAGACCCCGCCTGTGTCTGGACCAGGGGCGGGCACCAGGCTTCTCCCAGCTCTCCGCAGAAGAGGGAACAGACTGGGCAGGGTTAAGGGTGAGGGGCACCCTGACATGCACACCCCCACCACACACCCCAGGCCCTCGGCAGCCTGTGTCCCAAGGAAAACCAGTAGTGACCAAAAGCCAGCACCCTTGAGTGGCTGGTGACATCGGCAGGTGGAGCCTGTCACCCATCTTTTGGGGCAGCCTTCAGGGCCCTCTGGTGGTGGAAGTTGGCGCACCCCCATTTCCTGCTTGGAGGCACAGAAGGGGGTGCAGTGAGGCCTCAGGCTGCAGGGGTGGGGCTCAGGAGGACCCTTGAGCAGCTTTGTCTCCCATGTAGCCACGTTCATATCCCACCCCTGGGAGCTTCTTGTCTCAATTCTGCCGCTCAGGCCCCTCAGTGGGGGCTGCTGGGGATCCTCCAGGAGGACATAACCACCCAGTTGAGGGGTGGCCTGGGGTGGGTGCCGACTGATGGCCAGGGCCTCTGAGGCCTGATTGGTCTGCCCTGGTTCCCAGGTGCCGGTGGGCACTTTTATGGCGATTGCTTCTGATAAGTTTTCCAGAAAACCGGATGTGGAAAGCCTCTTGGAATGTTTATCTTCTTCCCCACTCTGGCAGAGGCCTGTGCCGGGGACTTCAGTGCTCCTGTGGAGACAGTGCTCCTGTGGAGACAGGTGCAGGGTGGGTGAGGAGTGCCAGGTGGACCCCATCTGTCTCTTGCTTTTTCTTACCCTCCTATGGCAGCTGCCCCCAGACCAGGATCTCCCCTGCAGCTGCCCTCCTTAGACTCCTCCAGCCCAAGTTCTCCTTAAAGACCGATTCTACAACAGGTCCTTCTCGGATCTCTCTGAGGAGAGATTTCTCCTGGGGTTGTATACCATCCTCCTTGATCAAAGGTGGACATCAGGCAGGGCTGCTGCCCCTACTGCTGGCCTGGCCATCCCACCCCATGTGACCCAGGTGCAGTAGGGCTGGGGGGGCTGGTTTGCAGTGCACCCCACAGGGATGGCGCTATGAATGTGGGGGGATGAGGGGAGGTGTCCATGGGTCCCTGTCTCCACACCGGGTCTCAGATATGTATGGAGGCCAAGAGATGGGCAGGCACCCTTGAAGTAGTGGACTTTCTAGGTGCTTAGGGGGCAGGACTGTGACGAAGGCCATGTTTGAAGGTAGGAGGATGGAACAGGAGTTAGCTGAGGGCAGGGGTCCAGTGTCTCCCTCTGTTTCCCTCACTGGTCTATATAACCCACTCTACAGGAGGAGGAGGGGTCAGAACAGCCTTCACAGTCAGTGAATGAATTTCAGCCACCTGTTATGGACAGATGTTTTATTTTTTTCACCTCCCCTGGTGTGGTGTTGTGGATGCCCATTCCAAACTGAAAGGGAAAGTGGTGGTTGTTAAGTGCTGTGTAGTGGGCCCTGACCCATAGAGACCCTGTATAGGGTTTCCAAAGAACATCTGGTAGGTTTGAACAACTGACCTTGCAGTGCAAACCACCCTTGAGTGCTTATCCTACAGTATTACACCAGGATTCCGGGCATCCTAGTAGATATATATGTATTTCATATACATATCTATACCATTTCCTTCCTTAGAATCAATTTCCTGAGAGTAGAACTGTTGAGTCAAGAATTTGCACATTTGAAGGCTTTTGAGTCCCCCCAGCCAGGTTGGGAGAGCTGCAGTTCCTTGGCTCACCACCAGGGGTCATGCTCACTTCACCACAACTGTGTTGACTCAGGAAAAAGTGTTCCAGTTTGAAAACCATCCACAGCTTTGGCAGCTAAAGTGTCTCTACTGAAATAGAATGTATGTCGGCCATTTGGATTTCGTTTTTATATTAGAATATATTGCTCATATTTGTCTTTAGTGTTTTTTGTTTGTTTGCTTTTAACTGGCAAAGACTTTTTGTTTTGGAACGAGCCTTGGTGACGCAGTGCTCAGGTGCTAACCAACAAGGTCAGTGGTTTGAACCCATCCTCTGCTCTGAGAGTGAACCATGTGGCAGTCAGCTTCCCTGAAGCGTGGCAGTCTTGGAAATCTGTGGAGCCGTTCTCTTGTTCTGTAGGGTAGCGATGAGTGGGAATCAAGGTGTAGCCAGTGGGTTTGGGTTTCCAGGGGTAGGGTATTGTTACCCTTAATCCTCTCAGTGGAGTTCCAGTGTGGCACTGTAGGATTATGCACTGGACCACCGGGTCCTTGGAAACCCTACATAGGGTCACTGTGGATCGGAATTGACAGCACATCACACCAACATTTCTCTCAATTGCCTGTGCTTTACCCAGTTTGTAGTTTGTTTCCTAATTTGGATTTTAGTCATGCTATTTTGGATGAAAGTTTGTAAGTTTGTAAGTCATTAAATCTGTTAGTCTGTGAGTGTTTGCCACTGTGTTTCTGTTCTTAGTTCTAGGCTTTCGTGATCCGCCCCCTCCCAGGCATAGGAGTGTGTGTGCACGGAGCACCCCCGGGGATGAATCCTCCTACATCCTCTCTTCACTGGTCATTCCATCTCCCCAAGATGGTTGTTATGTGCGGGGGAGTCAGTTCCCACTCATAGCGACCCTGTACTGTAGCTCAGTTTAAAATCCTGTAAATTCATGGAGAAACGTTTCTGGCCGGTTCTTTGCTCCTTTATGTTTCTCTTGTTAAGTGCTGTCAAGTCGATTCTGACCCATAGCAACCCTGTATAAGGTTTCCGAGGAGCAGCGGGTGAGCTTGAACCGCCGACCTTGGGGTTCAAAGCGACTTTGCAGTTCAGTGTGTTAACCAGCAGTGCCACACCAGGACTCGTTTATATTTTAGAGAAACCTTAACTTCTTCCTCTGACTGTTTAACATGGGGCCCCACCATCGCCATGCTGGGACAATCCCTTCCTGTTGAGCCCACCTTCTGTCCCTGTATCTTGGAAACAGCCCCATGAGTCTGTGTTGCAGTAGCCCTGTGTGCCAGACCCTGACCACTCTGGAGTCTGGCGTGGCCCCTGGTCCTGGAGGCCTGAGGGTGGGGGGAGGGGGCGTGGCTATGATGTTTGTCTAGGTGCAGAGGAACTGGTGGGTCCCCATTCGACACTGTGAGCTGGGGTGCAGAGTGCCAAGGGGCCCCAGCCCTCTCAGGTTCCCCAGATGTGTCTTCACTCGGGCCCTCTCTTGGAACAGGTGTGGGGAGCTCAGGGTGGGAGCTGCAGCTTGGGGCTTGGCACTCCAGTGGCCTGGGGTGACTCTGACCTAGGCTGCCTTGTCCTCAGGGACATCTCCCACAACCTCCTCCAGGCGCTGGACATGGGGCTCCTGGTAAACCTCTCAGCCCTGACGGAATTGTGAGTGCTTCCAGGGGTGGGGTGGAGGTGGATGAGGGGGGCTTGTGTCTCACCACAGTTCTGGGGACTCCCCTCTAACCTGCCAGCACCCGTTTCTTCCAGGGACATAAGCAGCAATGAGATTTCAACGCTAGAAGAAGGAACATTTGCTAATTTATTTAATTTAAGTGACTTGTGAGTTGGGTTCTGTGGTGGGTGTTCTTGCTTTCCCCCCACCCCCGCTTACCTCAGTACCCCTCCAAAATTTGATACCAGATCCTGGGTGGGAGGCCTACCTGCTAGGTCCCCTTCCAGGGCCATGGGATGGTGGGAGGGGGTCCCCCGCCCTGTTTTGCCTTATAGCATCCCTGAACACAGCCCTGCCCCCTCTGCAGAGACCTGAGTGGAAACCCGCTCCAGTGTGACTGTGCTATGGCATGGCTGCCGCGCTGGGCACAGGGGCAAGGGGTGCGCCTGGGGCAGCCCGAGGGGCTCAGGTGTGCGGGGCCGGAGCCCCTGGCTGGGCGGCCCCTGCTCAGCATCCCCTTCACGGACCACAGCTGTGGTGAGTTGGGCAGACAGTAGCTGGTGGTGGGGAGGCACACAGTTTGGACCATTGGGGAGGGATGAGTGTGTATGAGAAAGAGACTGAGATGGGAGGCCTAGCTGGGCGGGGTCTGACCTGCTATTTGGGATGTGGGGTGGGGTGTCCTGCCTCTTAGCCTTGTCTGTCTCTCAGGTGAGGACTACATCGCCTGTCTCCCTGATGACAGCTCAGGGGCGGTGACGCTGGTGGCCTTTGCGGTGGCCCATGAGCGCCCCCTGGTGGCCGAGGCCTGTGGTGCTTTCTGCTTTGCTGTGGGCCAGGGTCTGGCGGCGCTGTCTGAGCAGGGCCTATGTCTGTGTGGGGCGGCCCGTTCCCCCAATGCTTCTGCAGCCTGCCTGCCTTTCTGCTCTGGACCCCTGCTGCCCACTGCCTGCGGTGGCCCCACCCTGCTCCCCCACATCTTCCCCGCCACCCCAGGGGCCACCCTGGAGTCACCCCTGGGGTCCCTGGCCACTGGCCGCCTGGCCACCTTCCATGTCACCACTGCACTGCCCGTTGTAACAGTTCTCTGGGACTTTGGTGACGGCTCCCCCGAGGTGGACATGGCTGGAGTGACTGTCACACACCGCTACTTGCTGCCTGGATACTACCAGGTGAAAGCCCGTCTGGCCTTGGGAGCCGCCTCAGCCCAGCTGGCCACCGAGGTGCAGGTGGAGGCAGCCCCCACCATCTTGGAGCTTGTCTGCCCAGCCTCCGCGTACAGCAACCAGACTCTTGAGCTCAGTGTTCGGAATCGGGGTGGTACTGGACTCAAGGCCACCTACAGCATCGTGGCTCTGGATGAGGAGCCAGCCCGAGGTGCGCACGGTCTGCTGGGCCCCTGTGTGGAGGGATCCCCCACCGGTGCCTCGTGCTGACGTCCACTTCTCTGCCTGTGGCCCCAGTGGTACACCCCCTCTGCCCCGCGGACACAGAGATCTTCCCTGGAAACGGGCACTGCTACCGCCTGGTGGCCGAGAAGATGCCCTGGCTGCAGGCTCAGGAGCAGTGCCGGGCCTGGGCCGGGGCCGCGCTGGCCATGGTGGACAGCCCAGGAGTCCAGCACTTCCTCGTCTCCCGTGTCACCAGGTGCTGCCCCTGCCTGGATCCAGGTGTTCCTTCCCCAAACTCTGCTCTGACCACAGCCATGCTCTCTGTGTGCACCTGTCCCACCTGTGCCCACGCCTTTGCCAACCCCCACACGAGTTCATACCTGGACTTTCACCAACCCCGCACTTGTGCCCACACCTGCACCGTGCCCATTCCCCTCTCTACAGCTGCCTCTTCTCCAGCTCTGCCTCTTTGAGGGGCCTTGAGCAGCTGGGTCTTTGGGGAGCAGCCCGCTTGCCAGCTGGTGTGAGGCTATTTTGATCCCCACGGCTGGACCAGGGTTTTCTGCTCTGACATGGAGCCCCATGGGGTGATTCCCGAGTTGGGTTAGCAGACTTTCCTCTTCAGGTGCCATTTTCAAATCTCAGTTTCTCCATCTGGAACTTGGGACAGTGATGGGAGAGAGAGGGTTGGTGCCCCCACCCACTGCCCATCTGCCCACAGGAGCCTGGACGTGTGGATTGGCTTTTCAGCCGTGGAGGGGCCAGGGGCAACCCCACAGGGTGAGGCCTTCAGCCTGGAGAGCTGTCAGAACTGGCTGCCAGGAGAACCGGACCCCGCCACGGCCGAGCACTGTGTGCGCCTGGGGCCTGCGGGCCAGTGCAACACCGACCTGTGTTCGGCCCCACACAGCTACGTCTGCGAGCTGCGGCCTGGAGGTGCGCGCCACCCTCCCACCCTCCCACCCCAGAGGCTGAGTCCACTCAGCCACACCCACCCTCAAGGCACACTCTCCCTCAGGCCCTGTGTGGGATGCAGAGAACTTCTTCATGGGAGTCCCCACTGGGGACCTTCAGGGACCCCTACGCCCCCTGGTACAGCAGGAGGCCTTGGCAGCCCCTCAGGAGCCCGTGGAGGTAGGCAGCACCCTGAGAGCTCCTATCCAGTCAGAGGATTTGCGTCGGGTCGCCACCCTCTCCTCATCAGTCTTTGCAGACGGGGGTGGGGGTGGGGTGGGGGTGGCGGGCCTGAGAGCTGAGCCCTGCCCTGCCTGCAGGTGATGGTGTTTCCCAGCCTGACCCTGAAGCACGCAGCCTTCCTGACCACAGTCGAGTTCGGGACCCAAGAGCTTGGCTGGCCCGCCCAGCTGAGGCTGCAGGTGTTCCGACCCACAGGCGGCACAGGTGGTCATGGGGTGCCCCTTAGGCCCCTGAGTGGTGTCCCTCTGCCATTGGGCAGGGTGGGTGGTAGCCAGGCAGAAGCATGTTGGGGTAGTGCATTTCTCCCACACGGTGACCCCTTTTTGAGCCAGGCCCTGGCATTCCTTGCTACTTTCAGGGGACCCTGAACACAGTAGCGAGCCCCAGAGAGGGTCCCTGGAGAACAGTACCGCGCTGGCCCCAACCTGCAGGCCGGAGGGAGGCTGGTGCCCCATGGGCAACATCTGCCTGCCGCTGGACACACCTGACCACCCTGGGGCCTGCGCCAATGAGTCCACGCAGGAGTCTGGGCTCCCCAGGGCCACCTACATGCTGTGGAGAGAGTTCCTTCTGTCTGTGCCCACAGGGCCCCCCACACAGTACTCGGTGCGTGTCCTTGCCTGGTGCCCCCTATCAGCTCCCTCCTCCCTCAACCATCCAGTCCTGTCCCCCCCACTGCCCTAGTCCCCCTCAGTCTTGTCCCTCCACATTCCTGGCCTCCCTTCAGCCCTGACCCCCCTCCCCCATCCAAATCCTGCATGCCCCCCTGGTCCACAGCATTACCTGTCCTCAGCAGGGTCTTGACCTGGACTTGGCATCTAAGGGGACTTGTTTCTGTGCTTCCCAGGGAAGCCCTCATGGTCATACTTGACAGTTTGTCCCTGTCCTATCTGCATAGACGATTCATGCAGGGCGAGTGGAGGGTGACCCAGGTGTTGAGACCCCCAACTAGCCCCCTTTCAGTCCATGCCCCCTCCTTGGCCCCCATCAGTCCCCTCCCTCTCTGCAGATATCTGTTGGAGACCAAGATGTGGCCCTGCTCCCTGGGGACTTACTGGCCTTGCAGCATGATGCAGGCCCGGGCACCCTCCTACGCTGCTCTCCTGACCTCAGTCCCCTGGCTTCCTCACCCTCCTACCTCTTGGTCAACACCTCAGCCTGGCTGACCCACCTGCCCACCCAGCTGGAGACTGCCCAGGACGGCCTGGTCTGTGCCCTGCGGCTGTTTGGGGCCACAGAGCGCCTCACTCCGCTACTGGGCCCGAGTCCCAAACCTGGGCTTGGGCTGCAGCGTCCTGGGCACTACGCGGTCCAGGCTGCGGTGAGCAATGGCGTGTCCACATATAACCTGTCCTGCAGCTTCACGGTGGCCTCTCCCATGGCTGGACTGCGCGTCGTCTACCCTGCTGCCACTGACGGCCACCTCTACGTCCCCACCAACCACTCAGCCCTGGTGCTGGCAGTGAATGCTGGTGTCAATGCCACAGCCACGGCCCACTGGTCAGGGGGCAACACCAGTGCCGCCTTTGAGGCTGCCTGCCCTGCTGTGGTGGACAACCTGATGCCCAGCTGCCCCCATGAGGCCAATGGCACACTGTTCTGTGTGCTGATGCTGCACGGGCTCGGGGAGGGGGAGCACACGGTGGAGGTGGAAGCTGGGGACAGCGTCAGCCAGGCCCGCCTCACTCTGCGGGTAACTGCCGAGGAACCTGTACGTGGCCTCCGTGCCACACCGAGCCCCGAGTCCCGTGTGTTGCAGGGTGTTCTTGTGGTGAGTGTGGGTACAGGGCAGCCCCACCCAGGACCTGACCCCCACTCCCTGATACCCCACCTAGGATCCCCCACATCCTTACCCAGATTCCCCCAAAACCCCCTCCTGAGACCTGACCCTACCCAGAGCCCCCACTGTGACATCCCCACTTGAAGCTCTCCTCCGCCTAGAAACCCCCCCCCCCACCTCTGCTGCATACCCAGGAACCTCCTGGGTGTCCACTAGCTCTCAACTCCCGGATGACCGCAGGATGTCCAGAGGACTTGTTGGTGCTCACTGATGCTAGACCCATTTTATGGGTGGGGAAACTCAGGCACGGGGCAGTTGGAGAGGGGCATCACCAAGCTCAGGCTCCATCCAGATCAGGTGTGGCCTGTGGCCTCTCGTCCTGCCTGCCCCCAACACCCCGATTCTGCCCACAGAGGTACAGCCCCGTGGTGGAGGCCGGCTCAGATGTGGTCTTCCGGTGGACTATTGATGACAAGCAGTCCCTGACATTCCACAATGTTGTCTTCAACGTCATCTACCAGAGCGCAGCCATCTTTAAGCTCTCGGTGTGTAGGGGTGCAGGCAGGCCCCCACTCTCCTCTCTGCTGGGAGGATTCGTGTTCATGGTCACCTGTGTTCACAGCTGACAGCCTCCAACCACGTGAGCAGCACCACTGCCAGCTACAACGTCACCGTGGAACGCATGAACCGGATGCGTGGACTGCGGGTGTCGGCTGTGCCGGCTGTGCTACCCCAAAACGCCACACTGGTGCTGACAGCCGATGTGCTGGTGGACTCGGCTGTTGGGGTGGCCTTCCTGTGAGTGGCCAGGGATGTCGTGGGGGTGCTGAGGAGGCCGTGAGTCTGGGCAAGCTGTGGCTAGGCTCCAGCTGTCTGTGCTCTGCCAGGTGGACCTTCGGGGATGGAGAGCAAGTGCTAGGCCAGTTCAAGCCTCCGTACGATGGGTCCTTCCTACTTCCGGAGCCCACAGTGGCTCAGGTGCTCGTGGAGCACAACGCCACACACACGTACGTCACTCCAGGTGAGGATCATTGCCCCCACCACATACTTGGGAGGGAAGGAGGTTTCACTACTGTCTCATGGACCTGTCCCTGCAGGTGACTACAATGTGACCTTGCTCGTGTACAACACCTTCGAGAACCTGACGTGGCAGGCGCCCATCAGCACGCGGGCTGCCCTGATGGCCCTGGCTGTGGGGGTGGGCAGCCATGTACTGGTGGCTGGTCGATCAGTCACCTTTTTCCCGCTACCTTCGACCTCACCCGGGGACACTCAGTACACATGGGACTTTGGGGATGGCTCCCCAGTTGAGCTGCAGACCAAGGCAACCATTAACCACACGTATGTCTCAAGGGGCACGTACTGTGTCCGCCTGGAGGCCAACAACACAGTGAGCCACGTGGCAGCAAAGGCCCACGTCCAGGTTCTTGAGGGACCACGTGGCTTGAGTGTGAGTCTGAGTCCCTCTGTGGAACAGGGCGCTGTGGTGCAGGTCCACGCTGAGCTGGAGGCAGGTGACAACATCACCTGGACCTTCGACATGGGCGACGGCACAGTGCTGGTAGGCCCCGAGCCTGCTGCTGAGCACGTGTACCTGAGGGCACAGAACTGCACCGTGACGGTGACAGCGGCCAGCCCTGCCGGCCACCTGGCCCAAAGCCTGCCCCTGTACATCTTTGTTCTGGAGGTGCTGCGAATTGAGCCGGCTGGCTGCATCCCCATACAGCCCAATGCCCCACTGATGGCCCATGTCACCGGGGACCCCACCCACTATGTCTTTGAGTGGACCTTCGGGGATGGCTCACCGAATGCCACCGTCCACGGGAGACCCGTGGTGACGCACAACTTCACTCACAGTGGCACCTTCCCGCTGGCCCTGGTGCTGTCGAGCCATTCTAACAAGGCACACTACTTCTCCAGCATCTGTGTGGAACCCGAGCTCGGCAACGTCACCCTGGGGCCCAACAGGCAGTTCGTGCGGCTCGGGGACTCAGCCCGGCTAGAGGCACGTGTGTGGCCCCCCTTCCCCTACCGCTACACCTGGGACTGGGGTTCCGAGGATGCTGCCACCCGTTTAGGGGGCCCCGAGGCCACCCACACCTACCAGGAACCTGGCACCTACCTGGCGACAGTAACCGTGTCCAATAACGTTTCAGCCAGCAATGACTCTGCCGTGGTGGAGGTGCAGCAGCCCGTGACAATTGTGGGCATCAGGGTGAACGGCTCTCACGTGCTGGAGACGCAGCAGCCGTACCTGTTCAGTGTGGCGGGCCGCGGCAGCCCCGCCACCTACCTGTGGGAGCTAGGGGACGGTGGGCGGCTTGAGGGCACGGCAGTCACCCACACCTACAACCGCACGGGCACCTTCTGCGTCAGGGTGGCTGGCTGGAATGAGGTGAGCCGTGGCGAGGCCCGGCTGAACGTAACAGTGGCGCGGCGCGTGCAGGGGCTCCGCGTCAATGCCAGCCGCACAGTGGTGCCCCTCAATGGCAGTGTCAGCTTCAGTACTACGCTGGAGGCAGGCAGCGACGCGCGCTACTCCTGGGTCCTCTGTGACCGCTGCACCCCCATCCCTGGGGGCCCCACCATCTCCTACACCTTCCGCTCCGTGGGCACCTTCAACATAATTGTCACAGCTGAGAATGCAGTGGGCACTGCGCAGGACAGCATTTTCATCTATGTGTTGGAGTACATCGAAGGGCTCCAGGTGGTGGGTGGCGGAGACAGCGGATGCCTCCCCACCAACTGCACACTGCAGCTGCAGGCTGTGGTCCGGGACGGCACCAACATCTCCCACAGCTGGACTGCCCAGCGGGATGGGGGTCCACTGCTGACCGCCACTGGCAGGGTCTTCTCCCTCACTGTGCTGGAACCCGGCACTTACCTCGTACAGTTGCGGGCTGCTAACATGCTGGGCAGTGCCTTGGCCAACCGCACTCTGTGCTTTGTGGACCCTTTAGGGTTACTGACTGTGGTTGCTACCCCCAACCCGGCTGCCGTCAACCAGAGCATCGCTCTGGTGGCTGGGCTCTCAGGTGGCAGCGGTGTTACTTTCACTTGGGATCTGGAGGGCAGGCCCCGCTGGGTGACCTCAGGACCGGCCATGACCTATGCCTTCAGCAGCCCTGGTCCACACGTGGTCACAGTCACAGCAGAAAACGCACTGGGGGTGGTCAATGCCACCGTCACGGTGATGGTGCAGGTACCAGTGAGCGGCCTCTGTATCCGGGCCTGTGAGTTAGACTGCAGCTTCGTGGCGGCCGGCTCCACTGTGCCCTTCTGGGGACAGCTGGCCACTGGCACCGATGTGAGCTGGAGCTGGGCAGTGCCAGGGGGCCACAGGCTGCAGGGCCAGCAGGTGGCTGTGACCTTTGCTGAAGCCGGCACTTTTTCAGTCCAGCTCAATGTCTCCAATTCAGTCAGCTGGGAGACAGCCGTGCACAACCTCACAGTGGAAGAACCCGTGGCAGGTCTGGCGCTGTGGGCCAGCAACAAGGTGGTGGAGCCGGGGCAGCCCGTGGACTTCCAGGTGCTGCTGACCGCTGGCTCCAGAGTGGTGCTGCGCCTGCAGGTGGGCGGGGCCAGCCCTGAGCTGCTGGGCGGGCCCCACTTCTCTCGAAGCTTTCCCCGTGCTGGGGACTATGTGGTGAGTGTGCAGGCCGAGAACCACGTGAGCCGGGCGCAGGCACAGGTGCGCATAGCTGTGCTGGAGGCCATCGTAGGACTGTGGACGCCGCACTGCTGCCCGCGGGGTGTGCCTACGGGGGCCGAGCAGAACTTCACAGCCCGTGTGCAGAGCGGCTCCCGTGTCCAGTACGCCTGGTACTTCTCGCTGCAGAAGGTGCGTGGTGACTCACTGGTCATCCTGTCGGGCCGAGACGTCACTTACACACCTGTAGCCGCGGGACTATTGGAGGTCCAGGTGCGTGCCTTCAATGAGCTAGGCAGCGTCAACCTCACACACCAGCTTGAGGTGCAGGACGTCATCCGGCACGTGGCTCTGCATGGTGGCCGCTGCTTCGCCAACCGCTCAGCCCGCTTTGAGGCCTCCACCAGTCCCAACCCACGGCGCGTGGCCTTCCGCTGGGACTTCGGTGATGGGTCCGAAATAGACGTGACAGCGGAGCCCTGGGTTACCCACGCGTACTTGCGACCCGGCGACTACCTTGTGCGGGTCAACGCGTCCAACCTGGTCAGCTTCTGTGTGGCGCAGGCCACGGTGACGGTGCACGTTCTGGCCTGTGAGGAGCCCACGGTGGTTGTGGCTCTGCCCCCGCACGTGCTGATGCTGCGTTCACAGCGCAACTACCTAGAGGCCCACATGGACCTGCGTGGCTGCGTCACCTACCAGACCGAGTACCGCTGGGAGGTGTATCGCACCACCAGCTGCCAGAAACCTGGGCGTGCAAGAAGCTTGGCCTTGCCCGGCGTGGATGTCAGCCGGCCGCAGTTGGTGTTACCACGGCTGGCGCTGCCCGTGGGCCACTACTGCTTTGTGTTTGTGGTGTCGTTCGGTGACACGCCACTGGCTCGCAGCATCCAGACCAACGTGACGGTGGCCCCTGAACGCCTGGTTCCCATCATCGAAGGCGGTTCGTACCGTGTGTGGTCGGACACGCAGGACCTGGTATTGGACGGGAGCCGGTCCTACGACCCCAACCTAGAGGATGGTGACCAGACGCCACTCAGCTTCCACTGGGCCTGTGCCGCTGCCTCCCAGGTCCGTAGCCAGGTGGGAGGCAGAAGGGCCCCAAGCTGTCCCCGGCCAGGGCTCTCTCATTCCCTTGCTGTGTTTCTGGGCTGCAGGCTGAGGCCAGTGGGTGTGTGCTGAACTTCGGGCCCCGTGGGAGCCCCATGGTCACCATCCCCCGGGAGCGGCTAGAGGCTGGCGTGGAGTACACCTTCGACCTGACTGTGTGGAAGGCTGGCCGGAAGGAGGAGGTGACCAACCAGACGGTGGGTGTCGGATGCAGGAGCTGGTGTGGGGCCAGGGTGCATTGGGCATTCCCTCTGTGGGCTCAAAACCACTACTTGGTGGCTTTCTTAGGTGCTGATCCGGAGTGGGCGGGTACCCATCGTGTCCCTGGAGTGCGTGTCCTGCAAAGCACAGGCTGTGTACGAAGTTAGCCGCAGCTCCCACATCTACCTGGAAGGTCACTGTCTCAACTGCAGCCACGGTTCCAAGCAGGGGGTGAGCTGCTGCGGGAGCCCACCAGGCCCCACCCACACCCTCACTGCAGTCCCGGTGCTGGCCATGCCCCTAAGGTGACCACGCCCCTGCTCCCTCCACAGCGTTGGGCAGCACGCACCTTTAGTAACCAGACGCTGGTGCTGGACGAGACGTCCACGTCAACGGGCAGCACGGGCATGCGGCTAGTGGTGCGGCGAGGCGTGCTGCGGGATGGTGAGGGTTACATCTTCACGCTCACCGTGCTGGGCAGCTCCGGTGAGGAGGAGGGCTGCGCCTCCATCCGCCTGTCGCCCAATCGCCCGCCGCTGGGCGGCTCTTGCCTCCTTTCTCCGCTGGATGGTGTGCGGGCCCTCACCACCAGGGTGCACTTTGAATGTACAGGTGAGTGCAGTGGGCGGGGGTGGGGGGTCGGCCATACCATGGGGGCCTTGCTGACACCGTGTGACCTGAAGGTTGGCATGATGCGGAGGACGCGGACGCCCCGCTGCTGTATGCTTTGCTGCTCAGACGCTGTCGCCAGAGCCACTGTGAAGAATTCTGCATCTATAAGGGCAGCCTGTCGTCGTACGGGGCATTGCTGCCCCCTGGCTTTTCGCCGCACTTCTCCATGGGCCTGGCCTTGCTGGTGCAGGACCAGCTGGGTGCGGCCGTGGTCGCCTTTAACAGGTGAGCCCGTGAGGCCAGTGGGGCCTGAGGGACTATGGCGGCCCACAGCTGACCATAGCCTCCACACAGGTCTCTGGTCATCCTGCCTCCTGAGCCCCCTGGGAGTCTCCTGGGCCTCACACGCTGGCTGCACAGCTTGACAGAGAGCAAACTGTCTGGGCTGCTGCGGCAGGCTGACCCTCAGCATGTTATAGAATACTCGCTGGCCCTGGTCACTGTGCTTAATGAGGTCAGTGCAGCGGGCCCCCCAAGGAAGCCGTAGCTCGGCACTGAGATGATGGTTCGGGGTTCCCTCCTAGTGTGCGCCCCAAAACACCCAGACTGCCCTTGAAACAACCTGGCCCTCTGAACAGGGAAGGGGACAGGAGGGCTGAACACATTTGACTGTCTCTCCCTCTCACCCTTGGTCACCCCTGCAGTACGAACAGACCCCAGCAGCTATGGAGGAGCCTGCCTATGAGCGGCAGCTGCGTGCCCAAATGCGCAAGAACATAACTGAGACACTGGTGTCCCTGCGTGTGGACACTGTGGATGACATCCAGCAGATTGCAGCTGCGTTGGCCCAGTGCACGGTAGTGTCCCACATGACCCCCGTGGCTGTCCCCCACCTCTGCCCTACCACAGCCCGCTGGTCTAGGTATCCACATAAACAGCAGGGCTGACTGGTGCGCCACGTCACAGTAGTGAGTGACCCGGTACTGTGTGGATTCCACCAGTCTTAGTCTTAACAGCTGCCCCACTCCAGTCTGTGGCCTCCTGGGCTCTGGGACGGGTGCTCAGCAGGGCCATCTTGGCATGTGTGGGCTAAGGGGACCCTCAGCGTGTGAGGGGACCTAGGATGGGGGAAGGGAGGTCACAGGGCGTGAGTACCGCTGTCGGCAGGTGTCCCGCGGGGAGTTGGTGTGCCGGCCCTGCCTGAAGAAGACGCTGCATAAGCTGGAGGCCATGATGCGGGTTCTGCAGGCTGAGACCACCGAGGGCACCGAGACGCCCACTGCCATCGCCGACAGCATCCTCAACATCACCGGTGCGTACCCCACCTCTCGTCCCAGCATCCTCTGGGGACCCCAAGGCTTACCTGAGTCCCTCGCCCTGCAGTCTTACCCCTCTTCCATCTCCCTTGGCCTCCTCCCTTCAGCCCCCTGACTTCTGCTGGGTCTCTGCAGGTGACCTCATTCACTTGGCCAGTGCCGATGTGCAGGGCCCGCCCCAGGGAGAGCCAGGTACGCTGGAGGCAGCGCGGCCCTCGCTGCTGGTGGCCTCACGGGCCTACAACCTGTCATCAGCCCTCATGCGTATTCTCATGCGCTCCCGTGTACTCAATGAGGAGCCCCTGACGCTTGCTGGGGAGGAGATCGTGGCCCAGGGCAAGCGCTCGGACCCACTGAGCCTGCTGTGCTCGGGCCACCCCGCCAGCTCTGGCTGCCATTTCTCCATCCCCGCTGCCTTCAGCGGGGCTCTGGCTGGCCGAAGCGATGTGGTGCAGCTCATCTTCCTCGTGGACTCCAACCCCTTCCCCTTCGGCTATGTTGACAATTACACCGTGTCCACCAAAGTGGCTTCCATGGCCTTCCAGACGCAGGCCGGTGCCCAGATCCCCATTGAGCGGCTGGCCTCGGAACGGGCCATCAGAGTCATGGTGCCCAGCAGTGCTGGCGTGGCCGGTCCGGGCCACAGTGTGCCCCCCGCTGCCATTGCCACTGTGCCACCGCGGGCCTCCGTTGGTGCCGAAGTTGTCCCAGAGAGCAGCAACCCCGCAGCCGCACTCCACCTGCAGCTGACCTTTAGGGTGCTCGATGGTGTGTGGGGTTGGGGGTTGGGTCTGCGTGGAGGGAAGGGCTCAGGGGAGCCATGTGCAGCACTGACCCTGTGGTCTGCCCCCAGAGAGCTACCTGTCCCAGGAGCCCGAACCCTACCTGGCCGTGTACCTGCACTCTGCAGCCTGGCCCAATGAGCACAACTGTTCGGCCAGGCGACAGATCAACCTACAGGCGCTGGCGGGGAAGGACCACAAGGCTTACACCTTCTTCATCGCCCCCGGGTGAGCTGCTTCCAGGCACTCGGTGTGGGAAAGGAGGGCACCATGAATGAGCCGGAGCTCCCCACTCGGCCTGGCAGTGACATGTCCCCCCCCCAACACCCTCAATCCCAGGACTGGAGAGCCTGATGGGAGTTACCACCTGAACCTGACTAGCCACTTCCACTGGTCAGCACTGGATGTATCTGTTGGGCTGTACACGTCACTGTGCCAGTACTTCAGCGAGGAGGACATGGCATGGCATACGGAGGGCATCGAGGCTCTGGAGGACACCTCACCCAGCCAGGCTGTCTGCCTCACCCGCCACCTCACTGCCTTCGGGGCCAGCCTCCTCGTACCGCCCAGCCGTGTTAGCTTCGTCTTTCCCGTGAGCTCTGGGCTGCTGTGAGGCGTGGGGAGGGGGCTCGGCCAGGCAAGTCCAGCCTGATGCTCTGCTGCCCTCACAGGAGCGAGTCGCAGGCGTGAACCACGTCGTGCTGCTGACGTGCACTGTGTGCCTGGTGACCTACGTGGTCACAGCAGCCATCCTGCGGAAGCTGGACCAGCTGGACATGCGCCGTGTCTGTGTCATCCCTTTCTGCGGGAAGGGCGGCCGCTTCAAGTATGAGATCCTGGTCAAGACTGGCTGGGGCCGAGGCTCAGGTGAGCGGCTGGTTGTTTTTGGGGAACCAGGGACAAGAGTAACACTGATGCATGTTCTTCTTCACAACAGCCTCAAAGTCTAGGCCCTGGAGAAAGACAGGCCCTTACTGCTCCTGAGAAGGGGCAGTCTGAGCTCTGAGGTGGCCTTAGTGTGGGCAGCCGTGCGGGCCAGGAGACTGACACCATGGGGCGAAACCAAGCAGCGTGGACTTCTTGAGGACAGGGTCCACTGTGACCTCTGAAAGTCTCTTTTGAATTTGAAAACATTCAGAACTCTGTTGGTTACAAACATACAGGGAGACAAGGTAGTTGATGTCTAAACCCTAACTCAGCCTGTGAGCGTATTCTAACCCCCACAGGGCACTTGTGAGGTGTCACGCTTTTCTACCTTTTTCTCAGCCATTTTCACACTGTGAAGGCCTTGAGGGCTCTTCAAGGAGAAGGAAGGTCTTTGTAACACCATTCTCAGCATCCTCACCCTTTCATGACAACCTTGCTCTTGGTGTTTATTGATAAGCACCTTTGCTAAGTCCCTCTGACAGTAAAAGCAGCCCCCACCAGCAGTGTGGGCTTGTCTCTGAACGCCACTTGGGTTCTGTCTAGGTGGCATCGCCCGCGTTGCCAAGTCTCCATCGCCACTGGTCAGTTCTGTCTTCTGGTGAGACCACTTTGCTGTCTGTGCTGAGTGGGAGGGGAGTTCACAGTGGCCAGTCACAACAGACTCTGAAAGGAGTGACATGATTGGTCGCTGACCACAATAGCCACCGTTACTCGAGTTGCGGTTTGAGGGGCAAGGCGGGCAGCTGTGTCGATTCTCAGCACAAGTTACAGTGAGAGTGAGTCTGGTGTAAGCAGCCTGCCAGAGCCAGGGCCACCTGTTGCTTCTGGAGTGCAGTGACATGCCTGGGGTCCCCTCCCACCTACCACACAGGTACCACAGCACATGTAGGCATCATGCTGTATGGAGCCGATAGCCGAAGTGGACACCGGCACCTAGACGGGAACGGGGCCTTCCACCGTAACAGCCTGGACATCTTCCAGATCGCCACCCCACACAGCCTGGGCAGTGTGTGGAAGATCAGGGTGTGGCATGACAACAAAGGTCAGCACCCTGCCCCATAGGGCTTCTCCTCAGTCCTAACCCTACCCCCCAGCTCCTTCTCTCTGCCTCTCCATAGGGCTCAGCCCCATCCTACTCAGGGCTTCAACCACACCCACAAAGCACCGCCTGCCTCCTAGCCACACCCCCAGGGTGCAACCCACCCTTAACCACACCCCCAGGGCTCACCCCCCCCTTAACCACACCCCCAGGGCGCAGCTCCCCTCCCTTAACCACACCCCCAGGGCGCAGCCCCCCCCTTAACCACACCCCCAGGGCGCAGCTCCCCTCCCTTAACCACACTCCGGGGCACAGCCCCGCCTCTTAGCCACACCCCAGGGCGTGGCTCCTCTTAGCCACACCCTCAGGGTCCGCCCTCACCACCTCCCGCCCACCTGCAGGGCTAAGCCCCGCCTGGTTCCTGCAGCACGTCATCGTGCGGGACCTGCAGAGCGCCAGCAGCACTTTCTTCCTGGTTAATGACTGGCTGTCGGTAGAGACAGAGGCCAACGGCGGCGGCCTGGTGGAGAAGGAGGTGCTGGCGGCAAGTAAGGCCCCCTTTTTCTCCGGTTCGGTGGGGGGAGGGGCCGGGTGCCCAGTGCAGTCTCCCGCAGCCCCTCCCACCCCCAGGTGACGCTGCCCTGAGACGGTTCCGGCGCCTCCTAGTGGCGGAGCTACAGCGCGGCTTCTTCGATAAGCACATCTGGCTATCGCTGTGGGATCGGCCGCCACGCAGCCGCTTCACCCGCGTTCAGCGGGCCACCTGCTGCATCCTCCTGCTCAGTCTTTTCCTGGGCGCCAACGCGGTGTGGTACGGGGTCGTGGGAGATGCTGCCCACAGGTAGATGTCTTCAAAATCAACGAAACCTCCTCAGCTACCTGACTCCCTCTGGCCCGGTAGCCACATTCCTGCTCTCTCCCCAGCCCACGACCCGTGTCCAGTCTGGTCCCTCTGAGCATGGACACGGTTGCTGTCGGTCTGGTGTCCAGCGTGGTCGTCTACCCCATCTACCTGATCATCCTTTTTCTCTTCCGGATGTCCCGAAGCAAGGTGGGCTGGGGCCTGAGGCCTTGGCATGGAGGGGGTTGCTGGAGCTTCCCTATCTGGACAGGGAGTCAGGGAACCAAGAACCAGTTCTTTGAAAAAGATCGAACAGTACCGGATCTTTAGCTAGGCAGACTAAGAGAAAAAGGAACAAGATATCAATTACTAAAATTAGGAACAAAACAGGGAATGTTACTACTGACCTTTTAGAAAAAGGAAAGGACTGGAAGGAATTGTGAGCCAGCAAATCAGAGAGCTCAGGAAATGGACAAATTTAACGGAAGATGCAAACTGTTAGAACTGACTTCAGGAAAAGTGGACTGCCTGGGTTGTCACATGACAGAGAATACCAGTAAGTAACTCAGCGCAGGAAATCCCAGCCCAAGGTGGCTTTACAACGTGAATTCCCAAAAACCGAAGAAGGGATACTTCCCAATTGGTTCTGTGAGGCTGGTGTTACCTGGACACCAAAACCAGACAGAGACATCGCCAGAAAAGGGAACTACGGAACAAATAACCCGCAACAAAAACCCAGCAACCTACATAAAAAGGGTTTACCCCACAGCCATGTGGGGACTTACCCCAGGAATGCACCATGACAGACAGGCAGATGTGACCTTGGTGTGTAAGGAGAATGAGGACCCCCACTCCTTAGTTGCCCTGACCGCATGTTGAGTACTCCTCATTCACATGTGATGAACGGGTACTGTTTTGGACAGTGCAAATAATGAACAGGCCTATCGCTTTAGAATTGTCTCTTAGTACTGAGCTCTCTGCTCAGGACTCCCAGATCTACCCGCTTCTTCCTACAGGTGACCAGGTGCCCCAGCTCCACCCCCACTAGGCAGCAGGTGCTGGACGTTGATAGTTACCTGGACTCTACTGTGCTCGACAGCTCTTTCCTCACCTTCTCCGGGCTCCGAGCTGAGGTGACAGCTTAGCCGGGAGCGCTAGGCTGGGTGGGTTCTGCTGCCTCTGGGCATCCTGGAATCTGAAGCTCTCTGTACTTCTCAACAGGTCTTAGCTGAACAAATGGGAAGTGATGTCTTCCTGGAGGATTCTAGGAGGTGGGTCCCTAAGTGAGCCTTGCTGGACATTCCAGGGTCTGGGCTGCATGGACCCACCTACCGGTGGCGGGTTCTCATGTCTCATGATGAATGGTCAAAAATTACATATGTGTAAGTGTGTCCCAGGTACCCTTGCTGACCAGTGTCTCCTTCAGCCTGGTGTGCTGGCCACCCAGTGAGGGCTCCCTCAGCTGGCCAGACCTGCTCAGCGACCCACCCATCGTGGGCAGCACCCCGCAGTGCCTGGCTCGGGGGCTGCCGGGCCACACACTGGGTCTAGAGGATGACACCCCCTCCTCACCCATCAAATACTTCTCAGCTTCAGGTAAGCAGGGTGGGGAAGGCAGCTTGCTGTGCTGTGGGCTCCCCCTGAGACCTGTCTGCCTTTGACTTCCCCCTGCAGATGAAGACCTGATCCGCCAGATACTGGCTGAAGGGTCTAGCAGCCTGGCCCCCACCCAGGACCCCCTGGTGGACACGGACCTGCTCAGCAGCCTGTGAGTGTCTGGGTCAGAGCCTCTAGTCCCTCATCTGGGGTAGACGTTCTTGACAATACTGGTCTCATGGGTGGCTCAGGGAGCAGTGGGGAGGGTACAGATCGGGGTGTGCCAGACTGGGGTCTCACCAGGCCCAGCCATGCTCTAGCATGCTTCAAGATGTCAGTTTTCCTTGTGGCCGAGCATTGTTGTTAGTAAGTACTGTTGAGTTGGTTCCGAATCTTAGCGACCCTGTATAGGGTTTCCGAGGATCAGCTGTTGGATTTAAACCACCGACCTTGTGGTCCAGTGCATTATCCTGCAGTACCAGCAGGCTGAGCAGTGCCCCGTCATGTGTATGTTCAGGACACCTTTTGTGTGTCCGTCCTGTCGACAGACATTTTATTGGGCTCCGCCTGTGGGCTGCTGTGGACGTTGGTGCTTTGGGTGTCTGTCTGCATTCCTGCCTTCATTTCAGGATACACAAGGCTGTGTCTAGAATTATTACCAGCAGGCTTGCAGTTCACGGGTTTGTTCCAAGCAGAATGGCCTGAAATGGCTCTCGGTGTGCAGTCAACAACAGCACACATGGTCTCTCAGTCACACACTTCCGTCTTACTGGGTGTTAATTTTTGGTTAGTCTTATTAGGGGGCCTTCAAACCAAGGTCCATCAGAGCAGTGGCTTCCAAGGGGATTTCCTGTGCTAGTCACCTCAGTGCTCAGGTTGTGACTGGAGGGGGGATTCAAGAGGGCTCATCCTGATAGATTTTCCCAAAGGACACAGGTGATTGTGAGGTAGTACGAATTAGTCTTAAGGAAACTGACAAGTGTTGGTAAGAAAAAGGCTAAGGGATTTGTTTATGTGTATATATATATATGTTTGGCATCACAGTGCACCTTGCTCCTTCTTTGAGGGCAGTAAGAGCTGTCCTAGGAGTAGTCCATTGGGAAACCTTACCCCGAGCCCTGATCTTGTCCCTTCAGATGTGGTTTTGTTCCCAGAACTTAAGGAACTTTGAAAGGGAAGCCTTGAGTTCCTTGAGGATGTCTGAGCCCCACTTGGCTGTGAGAGGGTTGTTGTTAAGTGCCGTTGAGTTGATTCTGACCCGTAGCCACTCTGCATAGGGTTTCCGAGGAGCAGCTGGTGAGCTTGAACTGCTGACCTTGAAGTTCAAATGGCTTTAGGGAGATTTGGGACTTAGTCTTACGTTCCTGTGGTTGAGATTTGCTGGGACATATAGTGGTTCTGTTTGACCTTTTTGAGGACCCACCTAAATGTTTCTGTCCCGTGGCTGTCCCGTGTGACTTTATTCCCCCCAGCAGTGGATGAGGCTGCTTGTGCTCTCGGCTCCTCTTTGTCCTGTGCACCCCCACAAACCTGTCCACTCCCTTCCAAAAGCGCCTGCAATGCCTGCTTCTCCACTTTCACCCACCTGAGGGCCTCTCGTCTCTGCTTCTCCTCAACATTCCCTGCCTGGAGTCAGGTCCTGGTGCTGACCCCCTGGGCCTGGGCCTGGCTAGAAGTGGTCTCAGGCTAGAAGCTCCGCTAGAACTTCTTCAGTGTTGTAGCAACGTGCAGGTCTCCGCTGGCCGACAGGCATTGGCTGAGCAGGAGGCGCCTTGGCTAGAGATTGAACCCAGGTTCCCCTCACAGGGCAAGCATTCTAGAGTTAAATTTACGGCCCCCCCCCCCCCCCCAATATACCACAAGTCCCCCGTGGCTCTAGGAGATGCTCAGCGTTGGGCGTGTGGCTGTATTTGGTGGTGGGTGCACTCTCTGTGTGGGTGGTCTCCCACTTTTGCTTTTCGGTGTCTCCGATTTTTCTCCTCATTTTTCACTCTTGCAGCAGCTTCTTCTCTCAGGTAGCGGCTCTGGACTTGGGAAGGTCAGGGTGGCACCAAGGGTGGCCAAGATGCCTTGGCAGCGTGATGACATGCCCCACGGGCTCCTCCGTGAAGGATGGGCGGTGCTCTGGGCCCAGTCCAAGTCTGACAGATGTACAGTGTCTTTGATCTCAGGCTGCAGAGCTGCATGGGGCCCGATGCATTTGTGCAGGATGTGTGGGGGCAGCAGGGGGGGCGAGGCCTGCTCTGGCCATTGTGGACGGGAGGGCAGCTAGGGCACTACAGGTGGGCAGTGAGAACTGAGGGCCCAAGGGGTGGCCGGGCAGGAGTGCATGAAAAGGAAGTGGAGCAGAGCGAGAGCGCCCTGGTCTGGGTCCCAGGAGGGGAAGGAGCCGTCACCTCTCTGTGTTCAGGTCCAGAGCCCCCGGGGAGAGGACTGAGGCGCTGATGCTGCACAGACTTGGGGAGAAAGGGCCCCCGATCCCAGGCCTAGGCTGGGACCAACCACCTTCAGCCAGGCTCTGCGGCACAGGTACGTCCTTGGGTCAGCATGTCCCCATGCAGCTCTTGCCTGTGGCCACTGGTCACGAGCTGTCTGTCTTCACAGGGCTAGTGGAGGGTCTGCGGAAGCGCCTGCTCCCAGCCTGGTGTGCCCGCCTGGCCCACGGGCTCAGCCTCCTCTTGGTGCTATTATCCGTGGGCCTATCCGGCTGGGTCAGTACCAACTTCCCTCCCAGCGTCAGCGTCCTGTGGCTGCTATCCAGCAGTTCCAGCCTCCTCGCATCTTTCCTGGGCTGGGAGCCGCTCAAGGTGAGTGGGCTGGAGGCCATGGCCCCTCTCCTGCCTTCGTGCCCCCCATGTCGTCCCTCTGATGCCAGACCTCACCTAGGTCTTGTTGGAGGCCCTGTACTTCTCACTCGTGGCCAAGCGGCTGCACCCAGATGAGGACGACACACTGGTGGACAGTCCAGCTGTGACGCCCGTGAGCGAGCGTGTGCCCCGTGTGCGCCCCCCCCAGGGCTTCGCACTCTTCCTGGCCAAGGAGGAGGCCCGCAAGGTCAAGAGGTTGCACAGAGTGCTGCGGGTGAGCCGGCCTGTCCCCGACTGCCCGTCTTTCCTAACTGGGCGTGGGTCTGTCCTCTGCTGCACCGCAGGGGGACCCGCCCCATTGGGTGGGACAGTGGGGCGTCCCTGTGGACTAACAGCTGTGCCTCTTCAGAACTTGCTGGTGTACATGCTCTTCCTATTGGTAACGCTGCTGGCCAACTACGGGGATGCATCGTGCCATGGCCACGCCTACCGCCTGCAGAGCGCCATCAAGCAGGAACTGGACAGCCAGGCCTTCCTGGCCATCAGCCGGTACGTGGCCCTGTTTGCCCCATGTCCTTCTGGCTGGGCCTGGGGGCTGTGGGTCACGGTATGACCATCAGGTTCCGGCAGGGTTGATGAGTTCTGGCCATGGATGTCCAATGTGCTGCTCCCCTATGTGCATGGGAACCAGTCTAGCCCGGAGCTGGGGCCCCCACGCCTGAGGCAGGTGCGGCTGCAGGAAGGTGAGTGGGACACACCTGGCCCCTATCCCAAGAGTGTCTTTGGGCTATCGGGCAGTCTGGCCCTAGACCAGGTCTCTGCCTTGTGCGAAGGGCGTAAGTTACGACGTGCCTGACAGGTGGCTTCCAGGAGGCTGTGGGCGTCGTGGACAGTCCTGGCATTGGGTAAACACTGCCTGTGTGCCCCCCTGTGTTTCAGCTCCCTGTCTGGAACCCCCAGGCACAGGGGCCCAGCCCTGCTCGGCCACAAGGGGCTTTAGCACTCGTGACTACGATATTGGCTGGGTGCACACTACCCACAATGCCTCTGGGACCTGGTCCTACTCAACCCCCGACCTGTTGGGGTAAGGATGTTGCGGGCTCATCCTCAGTGTGTCAGGGGCGTGCCCTGGCGTCTTAGTTCACACACGGCCCCCTGCCCACAGAGTCTGGCACTGGGGTGCGTGCGCCGTGTATGACAGCGGAGGCTACATGCAGGAGCTGGGGCTGAGCCTGGAGGAGAGCCAAGCGCGCCTAGATATCCTGCAGCAGCACAGCTGGGTGGACAACAGGTGCCCACCCCCAGTGGTCTCTCCAGCCCTGGCACAGGGTCCCGGTCCTGTTCTGACTGCTCTCCCCAAGACCCACACCCTCGAGCTTCTGCCCACGGCCTCCCAGGTGAAGTCTGCCCTTCTCCCCTCCCTCCCCTTGCAGGAGCCGAGCCGTGTTTGTGGAACTGACGCATTACAGCCCAGCTGTGGGGCTGCACGCTGCCGTCACGCTGCGCCTTGAGTTCTTGGGGGCTGGTCGGGCCCTGGCCGCCCTCAGTGTGCGTCCCTTCACCCTGCAGCGCATCAGCTCAGGCCTTTCCCTGCAGCTGCTCACCTCGGTGAGGCCTGAGGGCACCCCCGGCCCAGCCCCAGCCCCCCTACCCCCACCTCCGAGCTGACAGCTTCTCATTGCAGGTGAGTCTCCTGCTGTTTGCGCTCCACTTCCTAGTGGCTGAGGTCCAGGCCTGGTGGAGAGAGGGGCGTGGGCGCGTGCTGAAGTCCGGCTCCTGGGCACGGGCGTTGGTGGTAGTGCTGGCAGCAGCTGCTGCCCTGGTGCGCCTGGCCCAGCTGGGCGCTGCTGACCGCCAGTGGGCCCACTTTGTGGGTGGTCGCCTGCGTCACTTCACCAGCTTTGAGCAGGTAGCGCAGTTGAGTACCATAGCTCGTGGCCTGGCCGCATCACTGCTGTTTGTGCTTCTGGTCAAGGTGAGCTAGCGTGGGACCTGGAAGGGCAGCACAGGGCTGTCCTCAGCGCAGACTGACCCCCGCCTACCCACAGGCCGCCCAGCAGCTGCGCTTTGTGCGCCAGTGGTCGGTTTTCGGCAAGACACTGTGCCGGGCCCTGCCAGAGCTCGCAGGCGCAGCTATGGCCCTAGTGGTGCTCGCCGCAGCCTACACCCAGCTTGCGGTCCTGGTGAGTGCCAGGTGCTGCCCGGGGGCAGGATGGGGCAGGGAAGGGGGCAGCAGAACAGCCCTGATGTGGGTGCCCCTCCACCCCGCAGCTGGTCTCCTCTGGTGTGGACTCGCTGCGCAGCGCCGTGCACCGGGCTCTCCTGGTGGTGTGTCCCTGTGTGGGGAGCAGCCCCTTATGGCGCCTGTCTCCCCTGCTGTGTGCGGGGCTCTGGATGCTGCGGCTGTGGGGTGCCCTGCGACTGGGCACTGTTCTCCTGCGCTGGCGCTACCACACGCTGCGTGGCGAGCTGTACCGCCCAGCCTGGGAGCCGCAGGACTACGAGATGGTGGAGCTGCTCCTGCGTAGACTGCGCCTCTGGATGGGTGTCAGCAAAGTCAAGGAGGTGGGTACGGCCCAGGGGGGGAGAGGGATGCACCCTGAGCTCCAGGGTGCAGCCGGACTGACCGAGCCCCTGTACCGCCCCCAGTTCCGCCATAAGGTGCGCTTTGAGGGCATGGAGCCGCTGCCCTCACGCTCGTCCAGAGACTCCAAGTCACCCCCCGACGCACCACCACCCAGTGCTGGCTCAGATGCCTCGCGTCCCTCCACCTCCTCCAGCCAGCTGGACACGGGTCTGGGCCGCCCAGGGCCACGGGGGGAGCCTGAGCCATCCCGCTTGCATGCGGTTTTTGAGGCCTTGCTGGCCCAGTTTGACCGGCTCAACCAGGCCACTGAGGACGTGTACCAGCTAGAGCGGCGGCTACAGGGCCTTCACAGCTGCAGGGGCAGTGGGTCCCCCGCCTCACCTCCCCACAGCCCACGGCCAGCCCTGCCCACTCGCCTGGCCAGGGCCAGCCGCGGCATTGGCTTGGCCTCAGGCCCCAGCAGAGCATCCCTTCGGGCCAAGAACAAGGTGTGTCCTAGCAGTACTTAGCGGGCCGGGCCAGGGGAGACGCTGCTCAGTATTATCTTCTGCCCTTTGCTGCCCACCCCGGGCCCCGGCAGAACCCTCCGCATGCAGGTCCCGCAGAGCAGCTAGCACCTGTCTGTGGATGTCAGCACTTTATTGTGGCTGCGCGGGCAGCCAGGACCAGGGTCCCCTCCCCATGCCGCGGGCGCGCGCGGGAGGACACAGCAGTATTGACCAAGTGAGCGTCCAGTCTCTGGGTGCTGACTCCCCCTCCCAGTCCTCAGGTAGAGGTGCAGCGGGCTGAGCCTGCAGCCCGTATGTTCTCCTCCCCTAAGTTATTGCCCTGCTGCACGCTCACGCCCCCTCCTGTCTGCCGTCAGTAATTTATATGGGGTAAATGTGTATTTTTGTATGTTGCTCCCACTTGCCTGCACAAAGCTGACTTCAGCAGGTGTCACTGGGCACCAGGAACATGGCATCGCTCCTAGGATCCGAGTCTGGCCCTGGGCAGCTGCCCGTCCCCGCTCCCACCCCCCAGCAGCTTGAGGTCGGAGGGGAGCCTTCCTGGTGTTGGGCGTGACCTGTAGCCAGACTAGGAGGTAGAGAGTAGAAGGAAAAAGGCCACCCCGGGGCCGGCTCCCGGGGCCGAGCAGGACAGTGCCCATGAGGACCCTCTGCCTGCATTTCGCTGTGGACATGGTCCCAGCCACAGTCTTGACCTCCTTCCCCCACCAAACAGACAAAGTCAATAAAGACGTCAGCTGACTGCTACATACAGTGTCTGTCTGGGCCACGGGCCCTTTATTTCATGAGTCCTCATGGTTTCACACGAACTCCGTGAAGTCATCCACAGAGGAGATGAGGCGCTTTCTCTGACCCGTCTCGTAGGTGGGCACCGGCTCCGTTGGGACTTTGGTGTGGGTGGGAGGGAGCAGCGGTAGGCTAGGGTTCAGGTAGTGCTCCTCCCGGATCTGAGGGCAGAGTCCACAGGCATCAGACGGGATGGCACCACTGGGCAAGGACCCCCTGCCCCAGGACCCCAGCAGGCCTTACCCGGTGGCGTAGTCGCTTGATGTGGCGGAGGCGGGCGATCCACTTGGAGGGGTAGATGTCAGTGGGGTTGGAGCGGCTGTGGTGCACCTGGGAAGCCATCTGCATGGGCAGAAGCAGCCCACTAAGCCCACCTACCCACTGCCATGATGTACCCCCACATCCCTGCCAGGACAGCTGCCTCACTCACATTGGCATGCAAAGCCATCTGGCGAGCCACAAAGGGCAGGTTGCAATCAGACACGATCTTGGCCACACTGGTGTCTACCAGGCCCTCCATGTCTGCAGAGAGACGGACGAGGCTGGGTCAGCACTCAGAGCCCAGGGGCCCTCACCTTTCCAGGCTCAGAGCCTCACCTTTCCGACACTGCAATGAGACCAGGTTGCACTCGTAGTCCAGGGGGGTGATGATCACGTGCACAAAGTTGAACTGGCCCTGTGCAAGGGAAGGGGGCGGTCTGCTCAGCTCAAGGGGCTACAGCTCCCACCGGAGCATGTCTGATCTGCAGGTGGCCAGTGCTCTGTCCCTGAATTCAGGTCTGGGACTGTCTGCCCCTCTGCCTGGCTGAGTCACTGTCCCCAGTCTGGGAGGCTGGACCAAAGCCCCACCCCTTCCTCCCTGGTCCACACCTTGATGGTGCCCAGCTTGAAGTCATCACCCGAGTCGTTGTAGATGATGGACACAAAGTCATTGCCCAGGTGGCGCTTCTTGTCACAGCGGTGCCGGTCTCCATCCTTGGTGGGCATCAGTGTGGCGATGTGGAAGACGGCTGCAAGAGTGAGGCTGGCTGGCTGGGGGTGACCCTCAAGGGGGACCCTGCCCCAGCACAGCCCCAGAGAAGGCCAGTGTGACCACTGCACCTTGCATGATGTCGTCGTGCCAGCAGTAGGTGAACTGGCCGTCCTCTCCGCCCACGTCCAGGCCGCCCAGGTACACCTTGTCTGGCTGGCAGTCCTTGAGCTCGATGAGCTTGCCCAGGCCTGTGAGGAACTCCGTGTACCTGTATGAGCCGTGCTCATTGGACAGGATGGCCAGCTCACTGTCACTCTGCGGGGAGATGGCACAGAAGTCCAAGGCCACCCCAGGACAGTCCTGGGGGTCCCTGTCTCAGTCACCCTCTGGCTCAATGTACAACAATGCCCTCAAGCCTACTAACTCTCCACTGTTGGCCAGATGGCCCCTTCCTCCCACGTCCAGATACAGTGGGTGGACAGATCCCAATCAAGTCCATTTCCACTGCAGCCAAGGCTCAGTGCCTGCTCCGGTCTAACCACCAGGCAGGCAGGCTGCTGACCACCCCCCAGCCCAAGGCCTTAGCTTCGCTGTCTGTAGATTCTGCTCACCTGCCTCTGCACAAACCTCAATCAAGCCAGGTACCTAGGTGCCCAGTAGGCCAATCATGTCCCCAACAGGACTATCACTTGACCAGGCCACGTGACAGCAGAGCCTTTGTGTCCCCAGAAGAGCCGGCAGAAACCAGACCTCTTGGTCTTGGGGACCACTGCCCTCCCTCACGCCCTCTGACACCACCTACTGGTGGCCTCACCTGGCCCTCTCCCACATAAAGGACGGCGATCTTGTGTGTGTCGTAGGAAGGGATCTGGTCGAGGAGCTGAACAGACCGCTCGAAGGACTGCAGGCACACAGAGTCCTCCTGAGCCTGGTGACAGGCCGCCCCGGGGCCCCCCAGCTCCCCAGCCAGTAGCACCCACCTCATTGGGGAGAAGAATCGGCTTGTTAGACTCATCCCCAAAGAAAGGGGAGTGGTAGAGCTGCAGGAACACGAAGCTGCCAAGGACATAAGTTGGCATGAGGTGCCCCGCCCAGCAGGGACAGGCTGAGGGGCCCAGGAACAGTGTCTGAGAGCCTCGACCCACCTGGGGTTGATGCCCGGCACCTTCTCGGTGTTGGAGGCGGCAGCTCGGCTCCTGAAGGCATCCCTCTCCACCCGCTTACCCCTGCGGGACGGGGCCGAGTCGGAGATGGTGTAGCCTCTAGGCCGCAGGCCACTTGGGGACCGTGGGGAGCCCGAGGACAGCGGGCTCTCATGTTGGGCAGGAACTCGGGCCTGGCCCTCCTCACCTGCAGCTGGCCACATTACACTCTCACCATCTAGTGTCCCCGACTGTGACCGAGCCTTTTCCCCAGTGTCCCCAAGAACGTCCTGTAATGTCTGCAGCTCGGGGGAGGAGCTGGACTTGCTCAGGGGCTGTGAGGGCTGGAAGGAGAGGTCCACGCAGGGCTGGCTGCCCCCAGAGGTCACAGCCCGCTCGATGGGGATACTCCCAGGCACTAGCTCCTCGGAGGGCAGCAGCTTCTCTTCTTGACTGGACGTCGAGGAAGACTGCGGGTAGGTCATCCGAGAGTGGCCTGGTCAACAAGGGCCCTGGCGCCCACAGCCCCAGACCTAGTCCCAAGCACTCACCCTGCTGTAGTCGCCAGCGTGCCGGAAGCACCTGTCAGGCCCTGTGGTTGCCTCGAAGTTCTCCAGCTCAGAGGGTTCGCTGGGCAAGATGCCCTCGCTCAGATGTCCCTCCTCCAGAACCGCCGGGGAATCTGGGGGACAGACAGCTATGGGTGTCGGTGGTCTGTGACGCACACACGTGGTCTCAGGCACCAGCCTTTTCCCTACTGGCAGGGCCTGGCCCACCATCCCCTGACTTGTGTCCAGGTTGTCCAGCCTGTGGAGCTGGTGGTACCCCACGGAGGCTGCAGGATGGCCTACACAACATGGAGGAGGGCCAGCACCTGACAGGCCCAGGAGAGAAACCCAGGTGGCCCTCCCCACTTTGGCCCCAAGGAAAAGGCTGACACCCAAGATGTCTCAGCACACAAACGCACGCAGTCAGCCAGCCAGTCTGAAACGCAACGCTTACTCCACGTCCAAGGCAAACCCGTGGCTGCCGGAGGGTCCTGTCCTAGGCCGGTGGCAGGGTGCCGGCAAGCCCAAGCAGCAGCCGAGAGTGGGTGTAGCCCCGCGTGCCCCCACGTGCACAGTCCACCAGCTGCCCGCAGGAGCCATCTTGCCCTGCCGCACCTGGGGGCCCCTGGGGAAGGCAAAGCAGCCCAAGCTGCCCGTCCACAAAGCCAATCGGGCAACCGTGATGTCAGCCAGCTGAACTCCACTGTTGTGAACCACACACAGCTGCAGTCACTGGCCTGGGGAGGCAGAGCAGGGGTGCGCACGGCTCGGGGCTGGGGTCCCGCCGGCAAAGCAGGCGGCGTCTGCTCAGATGTCCTCATGCGTGTCAGGGTCCCCGGAGGGTGACCAGTGGGGGTGCTGAGAAGAGCGCCCCTGAGCCGCGTGAGTACCTGCCCAGGAAACGCTCCTGTGCAGCTTGCCTTGGCCACTGGACGGGCTCAGGGAGGAGAAAGAGGCCACTGCAAGGGAAGCCACGTGAGCGGCCAGGTCACAGGACAGACTAGCACAGTGAAGAGGGCAGGCAGCACTAGCCCTGCAGAGGAGAGAGGGACCAGCAGCGCCCGGCCGGGGCCCAATGCCTGTCAGCTCTGGCATCTCTATGGACTCGAGGTCGGGACAGGCGTGCCAGAAAGGGGCTGTGTCCACAGCCCTGGGGACAAGCTTCCGGCCAGCAGGGGTAGGAGAGTAGGCCATAGAGGGCCCAGACGGCTGCGCTTACCTGTGTTGGCCCGGGGCAGGAGCGAGGGCTTGGTGGTGCTGGCGGTTGGCACCGACAACGACTTGTACAGAGCTGTGTCCCGGTGCTCCTTGAAGCGCTCAGCGGCCATCAGTGCATTGGAGAGCTCTTGCAGAGGCATGTTGTTGATGTCCGACGAGAAGGGGCTCAGCGGGTTCTCCAGGCTCATCAGCCAGCTTGTGTTCCCTGGGGAAGCGGGGCGGTTCCCCCCAGATGAGCACTGAAATGACCCCAGTCCGGGAAGCAATAGCATAGCTAGGGGGCGGGCACCCTCACCTCCAGCCCTCAGCAACCTGGTGGTCACCAAGGGATCAGGTATCAGTAAGGCCAGCACCCACCCCCCACATTGTTCCCCCAGGCTCTGCTGCCCACTTTGCACTGAACCCCCTATACCATTTCAGTGGGGGCGGTTCTGCCACACCCCCCACCCATACCTGTGGGCCTCCGGACCAGGATCTCTGCCCAGCCCTGAGTCAGCAAGGGGACATAGGCTGCCAAATTTGTCTTCTGCTTTGGCGCCGGCTTCTGGGCACCAGCTGAGGCCTTTTCGGGCTTCGTGGCTGGAGGGATCTGTGGCCCAGAAGTGGAGCCTCCTGGGAAGTGGGAAGCTGGAGTTTCCAGTGCCCCGACACGCAGGCCATGGCCCCCTGGAGAAGGGGGAGCCAGAGAACTGGTGACTACCTGACCCACAGAAAGCTACCACACAGAGCTGCTCTACCTGGGGCCGATGGTGTGTGGGACACAGCCTCAGATCCCACAGATCTCAGTGTATTCAGGGCCACAGGAAGGACACCACAAATAAGGTCCCACAGGAAGAGCCTCATGGGAAGGGTCCCACAGTGGACCAAGGTTCATTGGAACCAGGATGGATGAGACCTGAACACAGGTTTCCCCACAGCCACCCCCAGGCGAAGCGTGAGTGCCCAGCACTAAGTCAGTTAGCAGTGGGTCCAGTCCTGGAGCATGGGGCCTACCTGACATGGAACGAACCCGGTCACGGGCCCCGCGGCACACCTGCACCCCAGCCTGGGACTCCAGCTTGGCCGGCGCCTCCTTAATCTGCCTCACGTGCATGCCAGGGTCGGAGCTGAAAATGGAAGTGGCCCAGGGGGTCAATGAAGACCCTTGTAGTCTGTGGGCCAGCCACCACAGAGTCTAGGGGGTAGGGGGGACTGTCACCTCAGTCCTGGGTCCCCCTGCAGCTCCCCTGGGTCCAGGCCCAGCAGTGACCGTGTACCAGTCCCCACACTCGTCGTCACGGTGACCAGCTTGTTCCCGACAAGCCAGGTTTTGGTCCGGCCTCCAGCAAGGAGGAACTCTCCCACGGGGGACCTGCAAGTCCAGTGAGCAGCTCCTGAAGACTGGTGATAGCGAGGCAGCAGGGAGGTTCCTGGGACCGACGCCCTCCCGCCTTACCTCTTGGGGACGGCTGTGAAGTTAGAGAAAACGTATCTGGCCATCATATCTAGGCATGTCTCGGTGAGCTCCAGGTGAAGGGTTTTCAAACTGTCGTCTGCCTGGGCCACCGAGTTCTCATCAGCAGAGCCCAGGCTGGAGCTGGTCAGAGAGGTCTGGATCCTACTGGGGAGGAGGTCACAAGCTGGGTCAGTGCTCTGAGGGCCTGGGCTCACCACCTACCACCTGGGGCCAAAGCTCAACGCATGCACGTGCCCAGGGGCTGGGCCTCACCCACACCATTCCCAGGGGCCCCTCCTATAGGAAACCCAGGCCACTGGCCATGACAAGAGAGATTTAGTAGCCACGAGGGCCATCGGGCAGGACTTGGTGGCAGAGAAATTTCGTCATGCAGAGAGAGAGGCCCTGAGACCAAGATTGCATTCTGCCCACAAAGCTGGGCCCACAATGCCACTCCTGGAAAGGACACCACCTCCCAGTGAAAGGCATGAGGGCTGCACCCCAAACTTGTCCCAGGGTGCTATCTGGCATCCCCCTAGAGGCAGGCCCAATTCACATGCAAATTTCATAGCAGTTGCCAGAGTTTGTCAGTGATAAAGAATCTGCTGGAAAACAGGAAGGATGGGGAACCTCAATACCAAATCTGTCCAGCAGAGGCCGCCATAAGTCTGGAGCCCAAGCCGTGTGCTGGTGAGGGGCCTACAGGGCTGTGTCCAGCCAGCACACAGCAGGTGCCCCCAGTTCACACCTGTCCAGACACCAGCAGGGTCCCTGGCCCACCTTCTCTAGGGAGCTATGCTCCCAGGCAGGTTCCCCCACCCACTACCAAAGTCCTGCTTCCCTTCAGATACAACAGAAGGCAGAAAGTTTCTAGAAGAATGCTTGGAAGGACAGTCCACACTAGAGAACACCTCCAGGACTGATCTCTGTGCTGCTACATAGCCGCGCTCGGCAGAGGCCTGTCCTCCAAGAAGCTGGTGTGCCGTGCAGCCAGCCCGTGCTCTCAGCAGGCTTGGGGACAGAATGCAACCTTTTCAGCCCTCGCCGCCAGGCTCCCCTGGGCCGGGGGCTGGGCCCAGCAGAGGCCACCTTGGGCCTCCCAGCAGATGCAGCTGAGGAGCTGGGCGACGGCGGACATGCAGGTAGCCCCATGCACCGCCCAGCCGCGGGCCCCACTACCTGCGCACCGCCTGCTCAGACACACTGATACTGCGGCACCGGAAGACCTCAGCCGCGCAGCCCTCCTTGCGCTCTTTCACAGGTGGAGAGTGAGTCGGGCCTTGCTTGGGAGGCCTGGCCGGCCTTAAACTACCAGGGAGGGGGGAAGGTGGGAGGACGTGCCATGGCCCAGGGAGCCCACTCCCGGGGAGGGGGTGGGCAAGCCAGTGGAGGATCAGGGAGGGCGATGGAGACCCCACAGGTGAGAGCAAGCAGACAGCATGCCGGGGGCACAGAGCGTAGGAAGAGAAACAGAAAACAAAACGCGTGAAATACGTCTGACCAACGGGACAGGGCAAGTAAGGGTGGGGGAAGGGGGGTACAGCAGATTCCAGGTTCAGGACCAGGCCTGGCTGTGTGGGGCCCAGCCTTGCAGGCCGCAGGCCCTCAGAGTCCGAGAACTCTGGGCTCAAGGCCTCAGCTGCTGATGGCCAAACCAGGGTTTGGGGGAGCAGCTTTGGAGTTTGGCCCCAACCCCCTGATTGTTCTGTTAAAATGCCAGGTTCCCATCCAGGAAAAGTCAAAGCAGCTTTGGGAGCGGGGCGGAAGGGGCAACCGCTCAATGACATGCACAGGAGAACATAAAGGCCCAGCACCGCGCTCTTGGACGCAGGATGGGGAAGGAAGATGGGAGCTGGTGGGTGTGAACTGGAGGGAGAGGGAGAGGGTGGTGGTGGTGGTGGTGGGGTGCCTGTGTGCCTGTGGTCCCCTCCCCATCAGAAGTCACAGTTGCCACAATTCGGCTCTGAGCTGGTCGGACCCCAGCCCCTGCAGCAGCCAAGTCGGGTGCCACATGACATAGTCACCAGGAAGCACCACGGTAAGGGGCCCTGTCCTGCCTTACAACCCTCAGCCCACAGCTAGATGGACAAAGTAGCCCTCACACCACGCGTTCTGGTCCAGGTGCCAGCCGCTCCCTTCGGCGCATCCCTGCCCATGCCCTGGAACCTGCGGCTGGGCCCGCACCTTTTAGGCCTCTCGTTGAGACTGGTGCTCCGAGCTCTGAAGCTGTCCTTCTCAGGGGTGTCGTCGAAAGACAGAAGGACGTTGGAGCGAAGGCCCTGGGAGGGTGGTGCAGATGGGAACCGTGAGGTGGGTGCTGGACAAGCAGGCACCGCACAATGCCCCCGGGCCTACCTTAGTGATGTAGGGAACGAAGTCTTTCCGGAAGGGCAGGCGGCACCGGATGAACCACATGGCGATCACGTGGTGAGCCAGGCACACAATATACTGATTGAACCTGGGGGGAGATGATGCTATAGAAGTCCACCCTGGTCCCTGTGGGCTGACTGGGCAGGCGAGGACAGGGGAGACCCAGCGAGCACTCACTTGGATGGGTTTGTGTAGGGCAGTGAGATGGCAAATACACTGGCATACTGCTCGGCAGCGAAGTTCCTATAGAGGTGCGGCAGCCGGGCCAGAGCTAGACAGCAGCAGAGATGACCTTCAGGGCTGCCCAGAAGCTGTCACAGCCACCAGCGCCCCGAAAGCAGGTCTGACCAGAACAGAATTCCCTGACCCTTGACCTTATCTTTGTTCCAAACAGCAGTGCCAGGCAAATGTGCCCTAGACCCACTGGTAGGGCCCAGGATGGAACGTAAACAAGACAGACCACAGAGAAGACACCCTGCAAGGCCCATATAAAGGCAGAGGTGCTGGCTGTCCTGGTGGGTCCACTTCCTGCACACATGGACTAGATGCTGCAGTCACTGCTGAAGGTGAGGACAAAATGGTCACAGAACCAGGACGAGACGCTGGAGAAAGAAAGGGTGTCTCCTCGGAGACACGAGAGGGGCAGCCAGCACAATCACTGGAGTCGACCAGGGCATCCGCAAAAAACCAGCATGCCCAACACGGGGCCAGAGAAGTCAGCAGAGGTGACTTGAAGCAGCCAGTCCAGCCCCACCCTCGGGGTCTACTATACGCACGCACACACACACTCGGGCACTCACAAACGTCAGCCATGTGTACACACGTGACCAGACAGGTCCATACAGGTGGACGCACACACTTACTGGACAGGAACTCGAGCAGCGGGACCGCCATGCTGGCCGTGGCTGAGATGTGGGTCAGCTTCACTATCAGCACAGGCAGCGCCTTGATGACCACGTCGGGCATCTCCACACTGCACACGGCCAGGGCTAGCACGCATTGGCTGGCACAGCGGTAGATGAGGCCTTGCTCCAGGCAGTACACCATCTCTCGCTGAGGACAGACAGTGCCTCAGGTCCCGCCTCCCCAGAGCACCTTCTCTAGAGGTGAGGAGCCAGCAGACCAGAGGCCAATCCTCACACTGCTCTCTAGGGGTCCCCAACAAACACCCAGCACACCGGACTCCTGAATCCTGGGGTGCACTCAACATGCAGGGGGAGACAGGGGCCCTCACTGGAGCTAAGCGTGAACCATGGGCATTGCCCTGACAGGTGTGTAGACGCCTGACCTGGGGCCACGTACTCCACTTGGATACTTGTTCTGTTTCTGCTTCAGATGAGAAAATACACCTCACAGTTTGGTATGGGGTACCCTGAGGTTCCTACATTGGGGGGCAGAGACATCCCCCAATGGTCCCCAGTCTGCCGGCAAGAACCAGGCAGCAACACTCTCAGGAATAAGAGAGACAGCACAGATGGGGAGAGGGGAAAGGTCAGGGTCAGCACCTCCCGAAAGCCCCTGCAAGAGAAATTTCTCCAAGTTCCTACAGATTTAGCTGACTGGCAGCAGGGCCCAGCAGCCACAGGGGGACAGCGCCAGTCACCGGCATCCCCAATCACAAAGGGGACACTGAGTCGCCTGCTCCGAGTCTATGTCCAGGGGCCTGGGGCACCCTCACCTATCTCCACCTGCAGTCCCTTACCTGCTTGCTCTTGTCCAGGTACTTATGGTAAGAAATGAGCGCCATCAGAACCGGAACCACTGCCAAGTGCAGGTCGGTTCTGGAGAAGCCTTCTGGGGTGTTGCGGAGCCGTTCTAGGGTTTTGGGGCCTGAAAGCTAACATCAAGGCCTAGACATCAGAAGGCTCCGGAAGGGCACAGAGAAGCCCACCAAGGAAGGGTCAAGGGTCTGGACTTCCATTTTTAGGGACAGGTTCCTCCCTACCTTTGCAAAGAAATGAGTGCCCCCTGCCCCAGGTCTGAGGAGTAACCACAGAAGTCCCGGATACAAAGGGAGACTACCCAAGAGCCCCACCCCTGGGATCTGTCCTGAGCAGGGGGAGCAGGTAGGCCAGTTGGCAGCCACCTGGGACCCAGGCAGGACCCATCCAGACTCCGGTTTCATCTAAATATACAAGTGCTCCCAGAACCCCAACCCCAACCCCGTGTGAGGGACAGGACAAGGGACCCCGGGCTGAGACGGCCAATTACCATGGAGCAGAGCGCAGAGGACAGCTGGTCAACGCTGCAGGGGGAGGTGAAGATGAGGACTTTGTAGCGCAGAGACTCAGGCAGCTTGCTAAGCACCAGCTTCAGGACTTTCCAGTCTGTCTCCTAGAGGGGCAAGGGGCTGAGCCAGGGATGAGGCTTCCGAGTCCACTTCAGGGGGGGGGGGGGCTAAGCCCAGGCACATGGGGGACCCTCTGAGTCCAGTCATGGGAGGGGCTGTGAATCCAGGTATGTGGGGGTGGATCTCTGAGCGGGACCCTGGGAGAGCGGCTCAGCACTGCAGTTCTGTGGACAGGAATTCAGGGCCTCAGCAAGCCCTGCCCTATTCTCAGCTCTGCGGCCTCGATACTGCTCACAGGAGGGTCACTGGCTCCCGAAAAAGGCCAGCTGCCTTCCCCACGTCAGGCTGAGCAGGGAGACCTGACAAGGCCCACCACCTCCCTGCTCCTGCCCTGACCAGAGCTTCCATGTCCCTGGATTCCTCTGCCTTGCACCCTCCCAGCCATGGCCTGAGGTCCCAACAGAAAAGCACAGGCCCACCATCCCTCCCCTGACAGACGCCTGCCCAGAACATTGTCATTCTCCTGCAAAGACACATAAGGCAAAACTGGCAGAGCCACGAGGGAAGAGCCCAGCAGCACGGCGCCCCACACACTGCTCAGGATCACCACACCCCTCTAGACCCGTAAGGTGCACCAACGGCCTGTCCTCAGACCCTCAGGGATGTGGGGGCCGTGGGGGTTCAGGGCAGTTCCCAGAGCTAGTGCCTCTCTCCTCCTCCAGCATCCAGCTCATCCTGCCTGGCTCCCCCAGGACTGCAGAACACGTCCCTTGGCAACATCTCCACCCACCCAGTGCCCTTCCCACCCACCTTGTCCACTCTACCACAAATCCCTAAGCACTTCTTCCCATTGCCAACCCTCCTAAAGAAGAGGATCCCCTCACTCAGCCCCAGTGACTTCTCTAATCTTCCAGAACTTTCTGCCCCCCCGCTACATGCAAGCTCTGTTTGTGTAGCTCTGGAACCTTTCCCACCTGCAAGACCAACTTCACTTCACTGCCCCTCACTGAAGGCGCCCAACACAGTCTCACGGCCCAATCTAAAGCCACAGCTCACCTGTCCCGCACCAGGCACGGTGTGACCTAGAACCACAGTTGATCTGTCCCCACACAAGGCACGGTGTGATCTAGACCCACAGTTGATCTGTCCGCACACCAGGCACGGTGTGATCTAGAACCACAGTTCACCTGTCCCTGACCAGGCACAGTGTGATCTAAAGCCACAGCTCACCTGTCCCCACACCAGGCACGGTGTGATCTAGAACCACAGCTGATCTGTCCCACTAGGCACGGTATGATCTAGAACCACAGCTCACCTGTCCCCACACCAGGCATGGTGTGATCTAGAACCACACTTCACCTGTCCCTGACCAGGCACAGTGTGATCTAAAGCCACAGCTTACCTGTCCCCACACCAGGCACGGTGTGATCTAGAACCACAGTTGACCTGTCCCCACACCAGGCACGGTGTGATCTAGAACCACGGCTCATCTGTCCCCACACCAGGCACGGTGTGATCTAGAACCACAGTTGACCTGTCCCCACACCAGGCACGGTGTGATCTAGAACCACAGCTCATCTGTCCCTGCATCAGGAGTGCTCTGCACAGAACACGTACTCAGTGCTGGGTCCCTGCTATCGTAGGACCCTGGGGCCAGCGGCCTGAAGAAAGCTCAAGCTAAGCCTCCTAGATGCAGCAGCACAACTGGCAGGAGTGGATCTGGGCCACGAGTCGGATGCTTCTTTGGAGCACCTGCCTGACCCTGTTCACAGGGCTCTGGGGACCAGGTGAGCTCACCTGCTTCAGACATTGCAGGAGGACGCGGAAGAGCAGGGAGTAGGGCAGATAGCCAAGCCGAACAGCAGGGCCAACAGCTGCTGGGCCAGGAGGCCCCGTGGGAGGTGAGAGAGGGCCACTGCTCTTCTTCTCAGAGCTGCGCTCCGGATCCCTGTAGAAGCAATGGAGATGGAAGTGCCTGGTCCACCCAACAGGATCAGCACCAACTGGGCCCACCCAGATGCCTCCCAAAGCCACCTCTCAGAATCACCCACGCGTGTGGGAAACACAAGTCCCACACCCGAGCACAAGCCCACCCAAAGACACGCACGTGTGGTCACAGAGACAGTAGGGACTGAAGCGTACAACACCATCCTTGTTGGGCAAACCCAGGCGGTGCAGTGAATCCGCACGGAGCAGCAGCAGGAAGTCAAAAGCCTACCAGGAACAGAGAGGTGCCATCTCAACAGAGCACGATGCACAGCCCCAAGGGGCAGAGGGCACCTCTGAGTGTCCCCTTGACCCAGGCATCCTTATTCCAGCTGCCCTTGAAAAAGGCAGCTGCAACTCTTCCAGCTAGGTCATGGGAGGTGACAAGCAGGGAGGAGTGGGCCCGAGACAGGCCTGGCAACAGAGCCGTCCAATACGTCTCCTCCCCTGGAGCCCACAGGAAGCCTGCCACGGAGATGGTCCCCCCAGGTCTCATGTGAGGGAAGATTTTCCAGCAGAGACTGAGGGTCCATTCTGGGGATCTCATACCAACATTGGGGAACTTGGAGCAGCTGCCCCGCCCCCATCTCCAGGAAGTAACTGGGACCTCTGCCATCTCTTGCTAAGCATCGATCCCCTTCTCTACCCCATCCCTGGTCCCTCAGAACGCCCAGAATAATGGGGAACAGAGGTGGGCAGGCTATGAACCTTCAGCCTTGAGGGCCTCCCGGGAGGACCCCTGAGCAGCACCCACCTGGAGCCGGATGCTGCTGGCGACGGGCAGGCTGTACGTGTGCTGATAGTGCCTGTGCAAATGCTGAGTTAGCAGCTCGTAAACACGTACCGCGTGGCTCGCCGGCAAGGCGTAAAGCTTGGTCTGCAGAGAGCGTGAGATCACTGAGACACACCCTCTGGTGCCCAGTCCCCACATTGGTGGGTGGGTCTCGAGCCAGTCTGTGCTGAGACTCACATGGTCATATCGTGACTGGGCAGTCAGGAGCACGCTCAAGAGCCCAGTCCTCACCAGTATGGCTCCAAACCCTCAGGGACAGAGTCCAACAAGACGCAGCCCAGGCAGGAGCTGATGCCCTCCCTCCAGCGGACTCACCTGAAGGATGACCAGGAGCCCCAGGACCCCAGTCCTCACATCCTCCAAGGAGGCCGAGTAGGCAGGGATATCTCTGTCTTCCAGCTCAGGTGGCGGGGACAGGGAGCGAGCGATCACCTTGGAAGGAAGGATGTGTATCTCAATGGTGGTACCTACAGCGGCAGTGGATCCCTCGAACTAGCAGCACTGTGGCCTCCCACGGTACCTGGGCCCCCAGACAGAAAAGCAGAGTCCACCCTGGGGCTAGAAACCGGCTCCCAGGAGCCCAGTCGTGCGGCCCTCACCTTCTCGATGATGTCTAACAAACTGCTGAAATGATGTGTGTGGCAGCCCTCTGCCAGGTCCACCAGCAACTGGGTGGCCAGCCTGCGGACCTGGGGGTCTTTGTCCTCTGGGATGTGGGAGAGTTGGGAGATGACCACGGAGTTGATCAGCTCCTCCTATGGTGCAAGGACAGCAAGGTGAGTCATCGAAGGCTGGCTGGACCCCCTTCAGTCCCCCGCGCCCTCCCGCCCAGCCGGCTCCACAGCCACACCTCATAGAATTGCCTGTTGATGAGGAGCACGAAGGACAGGACGTCCAGGACCTTGATGCGCACGGCACTGCGGGACTCGCTCCTGGGGGCGAGGACGGACCTGCTGGGCGGCCCCCTGGCCCCCCTGGCCCTGCCCCCGCCCCAGGCCCAGCTGACAGCCGGTACCTGAAGAAGCTCTCCATGAGCTGCTGCAGTGTGTGGATCCAGCCATCCTTGGCCGGGTGGATGGACTGGGCCCTGAAGGACACCAGGTTCAAGAGGGAGGATTCCTGTGGGAGGGGACAGCGCACAGGGGTGGGTTTCTCCTCTCCCCTGAGCAGCCCTGACTGATGGCTGAGGGACGGGGGGACACTACTGAGCACCAAGCCCCCTTCTGCCCAGAGCCCTGGCACAAAGCCCCACCCCGAGGCCACTCTCACATGTCTCTGGTCTGCGCATCTTTCCACGAGCTCAAAGTATCTCTCCTGGGAGCCGTGGAACTCGTTCTGGTCACACAGCTCCTCCACGGTCGTCAGCAGGTCATGCACAACGGTTCTGAGCTCCGGGCTCCCCAGGCTCTGCCGTGCAGGGGACGGGAGGGGGCCACAGTGACGCCAGCTTCCCCACAGGACCGCTCCCGCCCGCCCGCCCTGTCCACCTGCTCACTGGAAGCTGCTGGAGCAGACGTTCCATGATGTTCAGCAGGAGGTCCCAGGTCACAGCCTGAAGCTCCTTCCTGTACTTCTTAATGAGTCTGCTGATGGAGAGGACGATTTCGTAGGACACCACCTCGTTGGGGCAGGTCATAGCCTGAAACACAAATCCCATGAGCATCAGCAGTCGGCTGCTACACACATGCCCCAGGAGCCCCCATGGAGCCCACCCTGGGGCCCAAAAGAAATGGTCTAAAGAAATCGGTGAAGCGTCCAAAAAGGCCTTTTCTGCACGACTCTAGCAGACAGGATCCTGAAAGGAGCTGCAGCCCGATTCAGTTACACCATCGCCTTTAAAATTCTGGTCCTGGCTCCTCAGCACCCGAGAACCAAGAGTTCCAGCCTCAATCCTAAGACAGGCAACGCAACAAGGCACGCCTCCCCCTCGGGGGTGGGGTCACACTAGGAGGGTCTGTGTCCCCCCATGAGATGCTGAGTCCCAGCAGTGCTCTTCACTGGGAGATGGCCTCACTTCCCAGAGCGCTTCTTGAAGGCACTCTGAGAGGTACACAAGGGAGACAGGTGTTCAGGGGGAGAGGCGGTGACCACCCCCCAGGAACATGAACTTGCAGGAGACGCCGTTCATAAACAGGAAGTCTGCTGGAGACATGACAGTAAAGCCACCAAGCAGCACAGAGCCTCGGGGGCCAGGATGAGCACAGCCCACCTGAGTCCTCACCTGTACAAGTCCTGGAAATCACGTTACCTCATAAAACGACGGTAGCACCGATGTTGGGGAGTTCTTCAGGGAGTAGAGTCGGTGTGCTCCCCAGAGCGCCATGCCAACAAAGAACACGGCTCCTCTCAGCAGCGGTGCATCCTCCATGTAGGCTCTGAAAATGTCCCAGCCAAGTAGGAGGTGGGCGTCTCAAGGGGGCAGGAGGGTCCCCGCACCTAGGGGCCAGATGTCTCAGAGCTGGGCAATGGGGGCTGGGCAGGAAAAGCGAGGTTCACAATGCAATTGGCAACTAGTTGCTGCGTTTGCTCCTTCATTAAGTGGCCATATCTTGTGCCCTGGGTTATGGGGTGGAGACAAGAACCTGGCCTCAGGAGGCTTACAGTCCACAGAGACAAAGACCAAGTCAATGAAGCACTTAAAAAAACACAGAATTTCTACGGAAAATTACTAAGCAATTCCACTACACATTCTAATTAAACCATCCAGAACACAGGAAAGGAAGGAATACCCTTTCATTCCACAAAGCTAGATAAAGGCATTGTGATGAGAAACAATTCCAAAGCGACCTCCCTCATGGATATGGATTCAGAACTTCTCCACAAGGCTCTAGTCTAGGGGATCCAACAAGTCCTCCAACTGCACATGAGTGCCGCACACACACGTGAAGGCAACTGTGCCCCAAACTGGAGGTCACCAGGATGTCCTTCACCAGGTGAAGATGAAACAGACATAGGCTATCCACACAATGGGGGATCATTCAGTGACAACAAGAGGTGAATCAGCCAGCCACCAGAAGACACAGCGGAACACCTTAAGTGCAGAGTTAGGGGAAAGCAGCCAATCTGGGAAGGCCACATCCCATGTGGTAACAACTCTAACTATGTGATGTTCTGGAAAAGACACAACTAGACAGTGAAAGATCAGGAGTGGCCAGAGGGGACAAGTGGACAGGGGGATCCCAGGGCAGTCTAAGGGTGGTCTGACTATTCTGTGACACTATTACGGGGGGACAGGGGATCCCAGAACAATCTGAGAGCACTGTGACTATTCTATGATACTATTATGGGGGACAGGAGAGCCCAGGACAGTCTGAGAGCTGTGTGACTATTCTATGTGATATTCTGTGTGCTACTAATCTGTGTTATACTATTGCAGGAAACACATGACATTACATGTTTGTCAAACCCACAGGAATGTACAACGCAAGGAGTAAGCCCTAACCTGAACTGTGGACTCTAGTTGACATGGACCAACATGATCCACCAAATGTGAACCGCACAGAGCATGAGTCCCTTATCCAGTCAGCTGGTAACATACCACCACTTGCTTACCAAATGCTCCCCAACATCAGTACTGTGTGTGTCGAAGAGCACACCTAGGGACGTGGTCTGTAGGGTTTTCAAGGGTTAATGTTACAGAATAAGATTTCCATGTCTTTCTTCTGAGTTGATTCTAGGTGGATGCAGCAAGCAGCTGAGGGTAAGTATCTGCACCACCCAGGGACTCCCAAGATGTTAATAAAATGAGGGGAAAGGGAACATGGGAAGGAACTTTCAATTCTTTTTACTCACATTTCCTAGACTCTAAAAATGCCCTACAAAATCAAAATTATTCATTTTCAAAAGCACAGTGTTTTTCAGGATACAAATCTTTACAGGAGCAGACTGCCACATTTCTCCTATAGAACGGTTCAGGGGTTCAAACTGCCTTTCAGTTGGCAACCAAGTGCTAGGGCCCAATCCAGGTGGACCCAACATAACACAAACCCGTTGCCAACAAGTGGCTGCTGATTCTCAGCCAGGCTGTGGGCAGAGAACTGCCCCAAGGGTATACACTTCATGGCACACAGGGCAGCGGGTGGCAGCCCCATATTTAACCCTTGTGTCACGAGGGCTTGTAAAAATTCAATACGGATGGAATAAAAAATCTCTAACAGATAAAAACCAAGTTAGCCAACCAGTACAACAAAGTATGTGGAGGCTTAATTATTTAAACTTCAAGGTCAATTCGAACTACAATATTGGCAACTCCAGCTCACCAGCCACTCCTTGGAAACCCTATACAGAGCAGATAGAAGTCGGAATCGACTAGATGGCACTCAATGGGTAACAGATAAACACCACAGGGTCCATCTGTAACGGAGTATCTCCGGGCCATAAGGAACAACAATGTCCTGCCACGGGCTAGGGTACAGCTGAACTCAAAGACACGGTGCCGAGTGGACAAAGCCAGACAGAGAGACACAGAGAGCCTGACTCCAGCTACATGAGACACCAGGACAGGCAAATGCAGAAGCAGAAGGCAGATTCATGGCTGCCAAGAGCTGCGGGTATGTTAGGCACTGGGCTGCTAACTGCAAGGTCAGCAGTTCAAATCTACCAGCTGCTCCACAGGAGAATGATGAGGCTGTCAGCTCCAGTAAAGATCGAATCTCGGAAACCCTATGCCAGGCTGCTGTGAGCTGGAATCAACTCGTTGGCAGTGGCCTTTGGTTTCAGTGCTGGGAGCAGGACGAACACAGGCAGTGACTGGCACAAGGTCTGGGGGCTCTTGAGGTGATGAGGTTCTATAGCCGCAAGCTGTGCGTGGCTTTTCTGTCAGTGAAACACACAGCCAAGCAGGTGCACACAGAGGAACGTGGAGGTTAAAGGAGCTCAGAGGGCAAGGAAGAGCTCTCCAGAGAGGGAGACGGTGGGTGGAGGTGACACCCAGGCTGGGTCACACCAGCAGGGCATCCTCCCTGAGGGGGTTTATTTTTATGGGCAGGTGACAGTCACAACTGGGAGGCTCAGCCACCTTGTACAGGCACAGGGGGGAAGCCAGGAGACCACCGGGGCTGAGAGACGACAGCAAAGCCTGCATCAGAGCTGAGTATCAGAGTGAGAGGAGAGCGGCTAGAACCGGGACCGCAGTCTGCTCACCTGTCCTCCATGATGCGACACATGTTGTAGACAGCACTGTGGCCCAGGTGGGTCCCCAGGAGGTTACGCATCAACTGGGACATAGAACAAGGCATCCGCATTAGGACTCCCAACAGTGCCACCAGAAACCTTAGGGCCATACTACTGGTCTCCCTGCCCACAGTCACTGTCTGACTGCCTTGAGGCTCAGCCAGCCTATTTCCTGGCTGTGGGCTGGGCCCCGAAGCTCAGCTCGGGGAGGAACGTCTGGGGGCGATGGCTGCATGAAGTCTACCTTCCAGCAGGGCTCGCAGAGCTCCTTGACATTGATGGTGCGGCAGAGGGTGATGATGAACAGAGGCAGGCTCTCAGCGGGCAGGCAGTTGTAGCAGACCACCGCATCAAGCACCTGCAGGGAGACCTGTGGAAGACAGTGGGCAGGGCTGGCGCCGCTGTGCACATAGCGCCCTCCCTGGGACACCAAGGCGAGCACTTGGAGGTCACTGAGTACACCCTGGGCCTCGTGGGCAGCAAACACGTCTTGCCTCTCAGTCTTTTTTTTTAATTGTGGTAAAAATACAACAAAACAGTTGCCAATGCAACACCTTCCCACGTGCAGGCCCACCTTGTCTGACGGAGCCTCGCTTTGCTACATGTTGTTGTTGTTGTTGTTTTTACACACTGAAGGCTGGAGGCAACCCGACTTTGAGCAAGTCTACCATACCAATGTTGGTCTTTTGCCAACAGCCTGCGCGCTCACATTGTTCCTCTGTTCTGTTTTGATCATGCAATTGCACATGTAGTAGGTCATGCCACTTTTACACACTGGGAAACCAAAACATTCATAGGACTCAAGTTGGTTTATTACAATATTCACTTTACTGTGGTGGTCTGGAACCGAACCCACCAATTCTCCAAGGTCTGTCTATCCACCATAGTGACGTCATGTTGACCACGTGTATGAGCACATTTTCCCATCTCCCTCAACAAGGACTCAGAGGCCCCTCAACATTGTTGAACATAGTCCCAGTATGGCAAGGACCCCAGTGGTCTATCTCCAGGGAAGGCACACATCAGTGTGTGGTCAAGCAGGGCCTTCCTGGAGCTAGGCTGGAAGGAACTGACCTCAATGTCCATGGAGGAAGCAGTCCGGATGCACAGGAGACAGATCATCCTGAGAAAGAAAGGGCCAGGTGAGGTGAGCTCAGGCACATGCCCGGAAGGCTGGGTCACCCTGGTCTGAGTTTGTGGTGCTGTGAAGTCAGTTACATGAGGGGCTCATCCTGCCTCAGGGCGAGGCTCTAGTGGTCAGCTTGACTGTGCCAGCCTGTTCCCAGGGCTGGGTGGTGGGCGTGAACAAGACAAAGGCTGGCCTTTACGAACTCACAGCATTTCTCAAAAATAGGGTCAACAGAACACCAAAAAGCCGATGGAGCCGTATGCCTGCTTCACAGCCTTACAGTAGCCACTTCAAAAGCTGGTGGTGGTGAGTCAGTTTTAGCTCCTAGTGACCCTATACAGGGTTTCCAAGGAGCAGCTGGTGGGTTTGAACCACCAGCCTTGTGGTCCAGTGCTTACACTGTAGTGCCGCACTTGTTGTGTTGTTAAGTGCCGTCGAGTCGGTTCCGACCCATAGTGACCCTGTACAGGGTTTCCGAGGGTGTAAATCCTTACGGGAGTAGAAAGCCTCATCTTTCTCCCGCGGAGCGGCCGGTAGTTTCAAACCGCTGACCTTAAGGTTCGCAGCCCGATTCGTAACCACTACGCTACCAGAGCTCCTGGGATTCCTCAACTTTAAATACAGGGTGGCTGTCTCCTAGGAGCCCTTGCGACACCAAGTGCTCCGCTACTAACTGAAAAGTCCGCAGTGAACCCACCTGATCAAACGGGAGAAAGACGAGGCCGCCGGTCCCAAGATTCACAGCCTTGGACACCCTAGGGGGGTTCTATTCTCTTACAGGGTTGCTAGGGTCTGCCTGACTCCCAACTTTCCCACTCGTCTGATGCAGACCCACGGTGGGGGGACTGAGTCCCCATCTTACTGAACCATGGACGCGATGTATCCATCCAGGTAACAGCTGTTGAACTTGACCAGGTTCACCAGCACCAGCAGGAATTCTGAGGACAAGCCAACGCCCATCCACTGCAGGACGAAGTCAGCTAAAGAGGAGGGGGGAGCAGTTGGCATGGCAGCAGGACCCGCTAACCACAGTGTCCCATTCACTGGACACCTCACACTGATGGCAGAAGGGGCTAGACTGGGGGTCAAATAGGGCGGACCAGGAGCCAGAATGGCAGTCACACCATGTATGTCACACAGGCGCCCTGACCCCAACACAGGTGTTTAGAAGATCAATTCCAGGCCCCACACTGGGAGCTGTCAGGAGACACAAGCATGCACTCAGCTGCCTGCCAAACAGCCTTCCTGGGGCACCTGAGGACGGCTCCCTGGTGGGACCTGCCCTGGAGCACAGAGCAAAGCTTTTCCTCCTCCTTCCCCACGAGGGCATGAACTCTCAGCATCTGAGACATCATTACCACCACAGGACCAAGGGGAGCAGATGCAAGAGGGGAGGGAAGGGGAGGGACACAAGACCTGAGGCCCTCTCCCAACCATGGCCCTCCCCAGGGATTGAGGCCCAGGGCCTGGAACGAGGCCCAGGTGTCTGCATTTTTAACAAGACCCTAGGAAATTTGAGTTCCCTTCCAGGCAGAGCGGAGTGGCACAGTGTGGAAGCCCCTGCAGGTCAAGTTGGGAACTGCAGTGCTCTCCCAGTGCCCAGCATCCATCCAGGCAACATCCCCGGTAAATGCGATCAACTGGGCCAGGGAACCCTCACACCTAAAGCGACACCCACCCAGCTCTTCTTCCAAGTAGGTTATGTGTCTCCCGTTGTCCGTGAGGGCCTTGAACACCTCCAGTCTCTCAGGCAGGTCTTCGTTGGAGGGGTAATCCTTGATGACTTGGAAGAAGAGTGCTCGGAGCACCCCCAAGTGTTCTCCCTGAGGACAAGGCGGCAGGTTCAGCAGAGCCCGACTGGGACCCTCAGAATCTGGGCTCCAAGAAGTCCCAGGAGTGCGACGGACAAGAAGACCGAGCAGGGGACTTGCCTGCCGGACATGGGACTCGCTGTGGGGGCGGGCACAGGACTACTGCTCTGCTCACCAGTGGGCAGATGTGTCGGGCTCTAAGCACCACAGTGGCCACCCCAGGGACAGACACAATATTTTTCTCAGAGCTGACAAGTTTTAAAGTAGAGGCAGGCACGGGGACAGGGGACTCCAGCAACTCAGGGGACAAGGCTGTGCAAGCCCATCACTGTCCTGATGGCACTATGAGCCACCTCCTGAACCCTCACCATTTCCTGGAGACAGACAAAATGACTTCTACCCCCTCCCCAGGTGAGCACTCTAGCTTCAGACTCTAGCAGCCCCTCAGCTGAGTCCCTCGGCCGAGCCCTGCGTGAACCCAGCCCTGTGCCTTGACCCTTGCCCAAGACACAGTCCTCACTCAACACAGCAGGAACAATCAGTGGGCAGTCTCAGCCCTTACCTGGCCCTGCACGAGGGCCTTGAGCAGGGCCAGCACTGCATGACGGGCCTCCGGTGGCCGCTCCGGCTGCAGCAGATCTGAAACAGCCTTCCAAAGCGCTTCCACGGCATGCTGGGAGGAAACAGCAGAGGACAAGCACAACAAAGGGGTCTCCTAACCGAGGGTGGGGGTTGTCAAGTGCCACTGAGTCAGTTGACTAATAGCAACCCTGTGTACGGTTTCTGAGGAGCGGCTGGTGGGTTTGAACCACTGGCCTTGTGGTTAGCAGTACAGTGCTGATCCTACAGCGCCCCTGGACTCCGAGTGATCTGGTAGCAACTTTCAAACACCAGCCACCAATCGAGTCCACCCTGACTCATGCTGACCTTGTGGGTGTCAGGGTGGACTCATGCTGACCCTGACCCATGCTGACCCTGTGGGTGTCAGGGTGGACTCATGCT